CAGTGCGAAGTAATGTAAATTAACGTATCGACAAAAACATGTTAGCTTGCCAAGAGATACAACCATGTTAAGATTAGATAAAACTTCCAGTTTAAAAAAGTAGTATCTTTCCAGACAAAATTGAACGTTCCAAAACGAACTCGTTTTGAGTGTTGGTATCGCTTAACAAGCAGCTTTACAAAGAACAAGTGTGTTTCTGACATATTCTCCGTCCTTTACAGCTACAGTAAGGTGACAAGTGACATGACAAGTATTCGACAATGACTATAATTCGTATAGTTTAGTTAATTTACATACCATTGTATCATAAAATATGGCATCTGAAAATAACAAACAAAATAGCCATCGTGCCACCTGAAAACAAATCAGAATAAGAATTCATTTGAAGCTAATCCTACATCAGCATCATCCATGGTCTCCATCTTCTTTCTGTGAGTAAAACCAAAACGTCAATACTGAATCCCACATATCTGTACAGCAAGGATGTGATATGAATATTAATTATGGATTACAAGCCCGGTCCGCGACAGACTGTATTTTATGTTGCGTTCTGTTGCTATGTTTAGGCCCACGGTGACATACCATTGCCTAGCTGATGGTAGTAAATGTCCTTCTATACTTGTAAGCTTACTGTGTTTCAACATGGACGATGTACACCGATCAAGAGACATGCCCTAAGAAAGATGTGTGAGTACCATCGACGTTTAAATCATTTTTGTAAAGACGACTTAAAGGCAGCAACGTCCTGCCAACGAACACTACATAGCATCTATCAATGTCAGGTAGACCAGACCTGGAAAACAAGACGGCATGTTTCCAAGGACAGAAGAAAGTAAACATCATCATATCGTTAAGATGTGTTTGACGTTGGTTATTTAAGTTGTTTAGCTTCACTTTCAATTGATACATTTCTTTTGCCAGTAAGAATACATTACCCCGGTTCAGAGAGAGAGGGAGAGAGAGGGAGAAGTGCGTCAGCGTTTAATACCCATAGCACAGAGAGAGAGAGAGAGAGAGAGAGAGAGAGGAGAGGGGAGGGAGGAGGGAGACAGAGGGAGAGGGAGAGAGGGGCCGCAGGGAGGGGGCGCAGGGGGAGAGAGGGATAGAGAGAGAATGCGCGTAGGATCAGGGAGTTTTTACACACAGAGAGAGTTGGGGAGAGGGAGTTTTATGTTTTTTCTACTCGTTTATGTTGCCTAATAACATGCACTTGCACTCATCAAGCCTATTGTATTTTGTTTCAGTAATAGTCACAGAGACACTACAGTTTCACACTTGTTCAGTAGCAATCGATATCTAAATGGTTCAACACTTTATTAATACCATCCTTAGGACAAATGTACAACTGCGATGACGTTTTTTAAACTTGGTTTGCGTCATATTATGTTTTGTCATATTACGAGCTCTGTTCTAAAACTGCAGAATAATCCTCTTTTCAACAAAACCGATGACAAATATTTCTCGCTGCAAGTATTCAACCTGGACACACGTAGAAGTGTTACACGACACTACAAAATCACCTGATCTAATATGGGGACGTGGGATAAATGATGTTTCCTTCTACTACTTATACAGAGGTTGTTGGGCGTCAGTCAGTCAGTCAGTTAATGTTAAACAAGCAGCATGCCCTTCTCTCGCTTCAAATTTTAATCTGTATAAATTTTTCATCCATCTCAAATTCCTTTGAAATATCGACGTCAACGTTTCCAAGACAACCAGTGATCCGATTTCATGTTGTTTCTTGAAGTCAATTGTCTTATTTTGCTACCAGTTTATATGTGATTAATCAAACGGCTAGGGTATAGTTGGAAGTATATCCAAAAGCCTATGTTCTCCTTTTTGTAAAGAAATAATAGGCTTTCGCGTTGATTTAAAGCAGATTTCTTTAAAATCACACATTTTTGCTTTCACGTCTGGTGAGCCGGTGTCCTCCCATAAGAACTACAGCTTAAAACAACACATGTTATGGTCCAGTGCACAGATTCACTACATGCTGTCACCTGCGTCTGCTTAATGGATTTGCCCAACACAAAACAAATAAAACATATATAACATATTTTGCTGCGGCAGTTCATGTTGGTTTTGACAGTAAATAGTTTGCCTTCACAAAATGTAAATTTGCAGTCTTCAGTTATGATTGAACAAGTTCTGCATCGAAATGTTTAACATTTTGTTACACTGACTGATAAACCTTTTTTCATAGTATCACTTTTATACAAAATTGGCAGATTTGCTTTTATAATGGGCATAACTGTGTAGTTATTAGGATTGTAGGTACGAACAAATGGAAGAATGTCCATCTCTGTGTTTGTTTCTTTTGGTTTAAGTGTCTCTCTTGTGACTTTTACTGCTTTATGAACAACATTTTCAACTCCCTAAGAAGATATTTCTTATATATCTATTACATATTACATATTGTCACTAACGTTATAGCATGATGATGACATAGATACTACCGTTATGCGTCGCCTATGACTTACTTTTCATAGTACACCTGAAGAACCGTTGCCCGGCGAAAGATCTTGTGCAGATAAAGTGTGGAGTTTTATGTAGATGTAGAGATAGTTCATCTATAGATAGGCTTAAATATTTAGTGTGATAGTTTAGTGTCACTTTCATCCTCAGTGTTCAGTCTAATCCATGTCGAACTAGTTTAGGCCAGCTTCAATAAGTAGCCAACTGCATCGAGGTCCTGGGTTGCAGTCTACAACAATACTATTTTAACATAAAAACTCATTTGGGATGTAGTTCAAATGGGATGTAGCATTATGGGAGTAAACCTGTGAGCCCCACAAACACTGCCGCCCCTTTCTAGTACACATTGCCAATCTCCTTGTCTGCCTGTTCCTTTTACATGTACTGTACTGTGCTGCAATGTGGAGCCCTTCTTATATACACTGGTCCACCCATATCTTTCAGCACAGGGTAATGCATGTCAGAGAGTATCCCTGCCTTTAAATTTTAAAATATAACATAAGCGGGTCCGGTTTTGACTTGCAATGTCGGGTTGCGGTCAAAGTTCGATATTTTCTTGGCGAATATAGAAAATATATTACATATCTTTTTAGTATCAGGCTTTTCTATGGGGTTACCTTCTGTGAGATACATGTTCAGGGACTGTTCATAATTTATGGCTAGGGGGTGATGCTTTTTTATGGAGAAGCATGTACAATGTGAATGACCCCCCTAAAATTTATGTACAAAGTAAGTGACACCTCCACCCCCACACCTTCATGTTATGTTACCACCTACCTCCCATAATTTTAAGCATAATTTTAAATTACAAGATTGCTGAAACCCCCCAACACACACACACACACACACACACATACACACACCACCACCACCACCACCTCCTCCACCACCAGTACATGTGTGCAAAATTGATTACCCCCCTCGTACATGTGTAAGAGATTGATGTCCCACCCACCCCACCCCCATAAAATCATCATTACCACACTCCAGCCATATCTGATGAACGGTCCCATATAATAGAATATTTTATACTGACAAAATCTACATCTAGATTATCTATAATTACGTTTATGAACTACTGATTCAAATGTTAAAACAGACAGCGACTTTGTGTCCAAGTTATGAGCTTCCCATACACACACATTACGTGTAAAGAGAAACATTAGACACGACATTACTTCATCTTGTCTGCCCGGCTGTTTCTACCTATAGATTACAAACACAAACGTGATGTCATGTGTATCCACTACCAGAATGTGTGTACTTTTACCAGCAAATCTGAACAAGAAATTTTAAATACTGACCTGTCTCTACCAGTATGAAATACATACAGTGTACTTACAGAAATAGATAGTCCAAGTAATCCTGCATTTTTTATCTTTTATTCGAAATCCTGTATCTATGTCTTTCTATGTTAAACAAATAAAGAGACCTTTATTTATGTTGACCAAGAGACCATGTATTTATATTGTTTTCGGTTTTCCGAAGTTTTTGTCATACCCAAATATAATCAGACTGGACTTCTGCTATGTATTGACACAAACAATGTGAAAAAAGTGATCAGATTGCTATGGTTTGTTGTTTGGTTGAATCCTACTCCTGTGACACAATCATCACTGTGACATAATACATGCATGGTCTATTGTGGTTCGTTTAATTACCAGTAGTCCTGAGAGTGTTTAGTACAATGCATTTATGGAATTGTGTATTCATATTTATTTCATTCATTTAATTTGATCATGATATAATCAAAATAAATAGGTACATTTTTATTATAAAACATATGTTATGATACAAGTGTTGGCAGACATAAATATTATCTCAACATACTATGTACTTCAGGGGCGACCGTACTGCATAATAGACCTGAAGAAGAATAAAAAGACAAACTATACTAAACACACTTTCTTCACGTTATCTCACCTCTGCATCTTCCTAGAAGTAAAAATCACTGACATGAACAAAGCGAACGGAAGGTCAAGGATTTGTTACCAGAACAACACGAATGGCGAACGTGTTTGATTCTTTGTTTGACCTATAGCTGTATTAAACCCTTAGTTCGTATCCTACATTTACAACAAACAATATAAGCGTGTGTATTCACGCGCACCCCTAATGAAGACATTATTGAATCCTACACAGGTTCACACACAAGGAGAACGGAAACGCTCTAAGTATAACTTCGGCCACCTTCGGCGGTATTCGTGGTGTGCTGCCACTCTGATTGTCGCCATTTGGCCTCTAGTGTTGTTATTGCCATGGTGAGATATCGTCGTTCGATCTCATCTATTGATTGCATTATCCCGTGCCACGGGCCTAAACAATATAAGTCTCGCTTGCCTTGATGGAAAGATGGTTCACAATAAATATTTATCCTTTGATAAATTGGAACTGAACAAACGGTTCCAAGGGAACGGAATCGATATTCTCTTGTTTCTGCGTACAGCATTTTAAATTATTCAGGACATTTCCTTTAGCGTAAGATGTTTAGCTGTACAGGTCACCAAATGTATTCTCTTCTTCAGGTCTGATCGGAATTTTCAAGTCTGGATGTAGCGGGTTACAGTATGAAGGACTGACTATCTGTAAAGTATTTTCAGCGGTTGGATTACGTAGTTAAATTGGCTGTGTCCGGGAGCTGTCCCGTGCTGTGTCTCACATAAAGGTCACCACAACTCAGTGAAGATGGGTACCAAAAAGAGGGACGGATGTTGCAAGAAGTTCATGAAATTCCTGTTCTCCCATGTGGGGTTATGTGCCATGGTGATATTGTACTGTGTGGCGGGAGGCTTTATCTTCGAGCATCTGGAGAAGAACAACGAGCAGCAAATCTGCTATGAATCAAGAAACGAGTACACACCGATGGAAAATAAAACTATCGACTCCGTCCTCAAGATCTTCTCCGACTACGGCTTTCCCAACGACAACAATCGACTCCTGATGGAGGTCCAGATCCGCAGTGTGCTGGAGACGTTCCGGGACAACACTCTCGCCATCGGCTACGACGGGCGAGTCTGCTCAGACTATGGCCTCCCTGATGGCCCGACATACCAATGGTCCTGGCCCGGAGCTCTCATGTTCTCTGTTACTGTCATATCAACCATTGGTGAGTCGGAGTTTCATTTTAGTGGCCAAATATTTATGTACGTTAAAGATGCATCATTTTCTCAGCCAGTATGGATGTAAACGTTCGGATAACACAAGTTACTATGTAACAATTAGCAATCAAAATCAATGATAAATACTGCTAATCACGCGAGTGGGTTTTGGGATGGTAAATGCCATGTACTGGAAATAAACAGTGTATTCCATAATTAGTTCTATTCCTTAAGTTTCCCTGGAATCTAGAATATATTAAGTCAGACAGGTAATCCATGTCGAACTGAAATTTGGTTTTAGAGAGTACATTAATTACTGTGTCGGAAAAAATAGCTTACTCCTAGGTTTTCATGCTGGTGTTTAAAGTACAAAAGTAACTCCGTCCATGAATAGCTTCTCCGGCATAAAGGAAACCGGCATAAAGGCACACTGGATTAAAATGGAATAGGAATATTTTAGGTCGAATTTTGAGCAAGCCCATTATATTTAAATTCGGGGAAAGCTCCAGAGATCTACAGGCACAAGGACAGAAATATATCCCTACCGTCCTCACTAAACCGCTCTGCTAATATACCCACTAATAAGACAACGATATTATGCACCTTAGCTAACTTTTATACAATGATTTCGCTAAAAGTATCACTTACACTAGTCATTTAAACAAAATATACTTTAAAGTGGTGGTTTTGAATGGTTGTCAATAGCTAGATACCCATAAATATTTGCTTATGGTAAAATATTTTACAATATAGTTTCAATGTCGTATTTTTCATTCTCGGAATAACGTTTTGAATGTAAAGCGTTAAGACGGAATACATTTATCATGCGAGCCTGCAATATTTATAATTTTCTTCTGCTCAGGGTATGGTCACATCGCTCCAAAGACGGTGTGGGGCCGATTGGTATGCATCGCCTATGCCGTTCTTGGAATCCCACTCATGTTGCTGTGTCTCGCCAACATCGGAGACGTCCTTGCCGACATCTTCCGCTTCATCTACGCAAAGATTTGTTGCTGCGGATGCTGCCGTCGCAAGAAGAATCCCAGGACAAAAGTCGTCCAGATCAAACCGATGCAGCGAGGAGATCAGGACCCAGCATGGAAGACGGACAAATCTAATGAATTCTCTCGCCTCCCAACCAAGTCTCCGACAGGCAGTACGGACACAAATGGCAATGACAAGAGCAGGCCTCCGTCCAAAACCAGCCGACCGGGGTCACGGGTTCCAAGTCCCGGGGGCAAGGCTGTAAAGATTGTTCCTCTCGACCTTAAACACATGAACCGCCCACCGCCAATGAAGAATGACCCCGTAGTCTTGGACGACGACAGCGACGACGATGACGATGACTTGGATGAGAAGAAGATCACTGTCCCACTCACCATCACAATGATCGTCATCGGAGGCTACATTTTCGGAGGGGCAGTGCTCTTCGGCCTGTGGGAAAGCTGGGACTGGCTTCAGTCTGCCTATTTCTGCTTCATCACTCTCAGCACCATCGGCTTTGGCGACGTCGTTCCTGGAACTGACTTCGAGAACCCACAAGCACAGGCGCAACTAATTCTCGGCGCTATCTATGTCCTGTTCGGGATGGCCATCTTGTCCATGTGTTTCTCGCTCATGCAAGACGAGATCATTGCTAAATGCAAGTGGGTGGGTGAGAAGCTTGGCATCCTGGACAAGAACGAAGACTAATACTCTCTTTCCTTCTCTGAAAACTCTTCTGTAGCTGTATACATCAGCTCTCGACAAAATCTCAGAACTTTTTTACATTGAAAGCGGTACTCGGGACAGCAGCTTGATGGTCGTTATTGTCCTTACAATCATTGTGAGGCTCAAAGGGAATCTCTTTGACTGGACAAGAAGCGCAGGATAACGAGTACCCGCACAATGTCCGATGTGCCTGAAACTGTGGTCTAAGTGATTGGACAGAAAAGCATTTTTGTGATTGAAGATCTGTGAAATAGAAATCCAGAGATATGTACTGGAGTTCGCCCAAAGCCCCTTATCCGTCCATAATGTGTATAAAACCAGATGGAAGGAATTATAATTTACGTGAGCTGTCTCGGGTCAATCCCCATACCCTGCTCTTTCCTATGCAACTCATTACGTCGCACTTAATGGAAAGTACGAGAACGTCACGTTTCCCGCTGATAATCATCTATGATCTGTAAGCCTATTCCCACAATCATCCCGGTACGTCTCTGTTTTGTATACCGATAAAAAAACCTCTTTCATTAAATATTTGTTAGATCTTTTAGGCATTTTAGATTTGTAATGGAAAGTGTGTGAACTTATTAAACACCTTACAAGGTGTAGTGAGGGAAGGAGCAGGGCATGGGTTCATCCTTTCGTAAATATGTTGTATTGATTTCATTTCATTATTAGTTGTGTGTCCATTCACGGGATATGCCTAATGCGATATTGATTACTTTTTTAATTTTGTGTGAAAGGTAAGTGAATACTACAGTAAGCAATGGTGAGAAAAACACCAAACAATAACCTTATAACCTAAGACGCCGTTTCTGATATCACTTTGGCTTCAGGGCAGCTGTTTATTGTGGTGGAAACGGTTATACTCAGTTTCGTAATGCACAAGTAACATCAAGCGAATGATGCTCAGGCATATATACTAGCGGATCTCGAGAAAAGCCAGCATCAAGAGATGAACATAAAGTAGCTACGAGAAACACTTGAAATGTTCACAGTTTTGTTACGACCAACTTAGTTTCGTCACATCGAAAATGTGTTTTGTCCTTAAGTACATAAGAGTATCAACTTTGATTAAGATTTCAACTTTGTACTTGACATTACGTCTTGTATGAGGATACGGGCATAATTATGCATTAAATATTGGATTTCGAATAATACATATCCATGATGGTAACAACTTTGCAATACGTCATGGTATTCTGAACCGACCGTGCCTCGAACTAACTATGCTCGTTACGCTCTATGTATTTTTTACATTGCGAGAAACGTGCATAAGATATATTCCATTACATTTTAAGATAAATTGTTATCTTGTTGAATAGCTAGCTACACTACAGGTGAAACGTGTGTTCATATATTATTGTATTGTTTCAATACTTTAAGGACAAGTGATTAATGCGGTGTGATTATGCTCTGTCAGTGGAAGACTCCGATTGTTCTACTGGTATAACAGAACACGTGCTTGCTATCTGATAAACATTCCACTCCTTAGGCTGTTTTATGTACATATTATTTACATCGTAAGAGAGGTATATCTTCAAACTACTGTATGAGATTGTGGCATAATATATATTTGCCTCTGTACATAAGTAATACATTGTTTGAATTCCTTAAAATACAGACTTTAAAAGAAGAGATCTCTATTTTTTAATTGCAAATTCTTCATATATTTAGAAAACCGTCCATATTGAAACGTTTTTCTTTTATCTTCACTGCTTCGTACGTTCCTATGCACGTGTCATGCAATTTTGAAGGCTTGCCTCGTTTTGAAACTGCTGGAAAGGGAGATAACTGCTATCATTTTGTGGTATATCGTGCTGAAAGCTCATTATGACATCTGACGTAAATGTTTTATAATCACGTTACCATGGAGATAACGGTATTATTGTTATTGTTAAAAATATCCCATGGCACATGAAAAAGACAAACAAGTAACAAAATGATGCTGATAAAGTGGGAATTTAGTTTTATATGTTACAAGTTTGTAATCAGTTTAACTTATCTGATTTTTATTCAATACATGTTTTGGACTGTACTGTAAGTAGTCTTGTACAAAGTGATCATGTACCCTGTAAATGTGTCCACGATGGCTGTATTCTTTTATATTTTCACTGCTTATTGAACAACACATCATAATGATACCGGGTCGCAGACTGCTGATTTTACTGTTAATCGTTAATGCGTTACACTCACAGTGTGGTATTGTATATGACGTCCATCTTCTACTTAGTTATTTAACAATAGAATTGTGTTTTTGACAGTGGGTTGATGACTAACCCATAAAGATAAGTTGTTTTTCACCCTGACATTGTTATTTCCACACGTAGTTACCCAAACAAGGTTTATAGAGTGTAAAGGTAATACTGATCTCATTAACAAGAGAACATGGAATTTTAAAACGGGATCGTCGGTAAGACGTTATATTATTCATAAAGTAAATTCCGTTAAGGCGTGATATAAATTACATAAACCGTCGGTTTTAGAAAAGCTTTGTACTTATAATAATAACTTATTCCTCGTTTAGATTGTTTCAGTGTGATCAGTATTTGCCTCCGTGGGTGTTGCATCTGTGAGACTCAAACCATGCTGGTTTTATGCCTTTTCCGCAAACCTCTTCTGTCTGTGATACGTGTGTACAAATGTTACAATAAAGTTCATATAACATTTCATGTCACGTCAAGCTGTTTTTGATGCCACGCCTTTGAGTCCGCTTACTGTGGCAAAGAGTTGTCTTCCCTGACAGCCTTCTGTCTCAACCATGCCGGGAAAACAGGAACCTTGGTAACAATCCTAGGTCCCAGGTAACTGGTGAGCGGAATGAATGTTGGTGGTAACCATTTCCACTATCATCTACTGGCACATGGGTATTTTGGGGAAGGGAAAACACGAGATATGTCCCATACGTTCTGTTGGATATCTGGCAGCTTAACATTGGTAAAATATCGTACAAACAAATACAAGCTCTTTTTTCAGTGCTAACTTTATAAAAAGATCTTAATTATCACTACATTAAGGCGACTCTTTCCATCGTTTATACTTGACGGAGATGCCAATCCTGTGTGGACGGCCCGAAGGTTAAGTGACGAGGGATCTGGTATACATGGTACAAGGTCAGGTGACAAAGGACCTGGTGTTGACGGCGAAACGTTAAGAGACAAACGATCTGATGTGGAACAAAAGGGTCAGAGACAAAGGATTGGTGTTGACGGCGAAACGTTAAGAGACAAACGATCTGATGTGGAACAAAAGGGTAAAAGACAAAGGATTGGTGTTGACGGCGAAACGTTAAGAGACAAACGATCTGATGTGGAACAAAAGGGTAAGAGACAAAGGATTGGTGTTGACGGCGAAACGTTAAGAGACAAACGATCTGATGTGGAACAAAAGGGTAAGAGACAAAGGATTGGTGTGGACGGCGAAATGTTAAGAGACAAAGAATCTGATGTGGAACCAAAGGGTAAGAGACAAAGGATCTGGTATGGACGGCGAAATGTTAATAGACAAAGAATCTGGTGTTGATGGCGAAATGTTAAGAGGCAAAGCATCTGGTGTGGACGGCGAAATGTAAATAGACAAAGGATCTGGTGTGGACGGCAAAACGGAAAGAGACAAAGGATCTGGTGTGGACGGCAAAAAGTTAAGAGACAAAGGATCTGGTGTTGACGGCGAAACGTTAAGAGACAAAGGATCTGGTGTTGATGGCAAAATGTTAAGAGACAAACGATCTGGTGTTGACGGCGGAATGTTAAGAGACAAAGCATCTGGTGTGGACGGCAAAACGGAAAGAGACAAAGGATCTGGTGTGGACGGCAAAACGTTAAGAGACAAAGGATCTGGTGTTGATGGCGAAATGTTAAGAGACAAAGGATCTGGTGTTGACAGCGAAATGTTAAGAGACAAAGCATCTGGTGTGGACGGCAAAACGGAAAGAGACAAAGGATCTGGTGTGGACGGCAGAACGTTAAGTGACAAAGGATCTGGTGTTGACGGCGAAACGTTAAGAGACAAAGGATCTGGTGTTGACGGCGAAACGTTAAGAGACAAAGGATCTGGTGCGGAACAAAAGGGTAAGTGGCAAAGGATCTGGTGTGGACGGCGAAATGTTAAGAGAAAACGATCTGGTGTGGACGGCGAAATGTTAAGAGACAAACGATCTGGTGTGTAACAAAGGGGTAAGTTACAAAGCATCTGGTGTGGACAGCAAAACGTTAAGAGACAAAGGATCTTGTGTGGAACAAAAGGGTAAGAGATAAAAGATCTGGTGTGGAACAAAGGGGTAAGTTACAAATGATCTGGCGTGGACGGCGAAATGTTAAGAGACAAAGGATCTGGTATTGACGGCGAAATGTTAAGACACAGAGGATCTGGTGTTGACGGCGAAATGTTAAGGGACAAAGGATCTGGTGTTGACGGCGAAATGTTAAGAGACAAAGGATCTGGCGTGGATAGCAAAATGTAAAGGGACAAAGGATCTGGTATGGATGGCGAAATGGATCTGGTGTTGACGGCGAAATGTAAGCGACAAAGGATCTGGTGTTGACGGCGAAATGAGACAAAGGATCTGGAAATGTTTGATCGGCGAAATGTTTAAGGGACAAAGGATCTGGCATTGACGGCGAAATGTGGACGGCGAAATGTTAAGAGACAAAGGAGAAATGTTAAGAGACAAAGGATCTGGTGTTGACGGCGAAATGTTAAGGGACAAAGGATCTGGTGTGGACGGCGAAGTGTTAAGCGACAAAGGATCTGGTGTTGACGGCGAAATGTTAAGGGACAATGCATCTGGTGTTGATGGCGAAATGTTAAGAGACAAACGATCTGGTGTGGACGGCGGAATGTTAATAGACAAAGCATCTGGTGTGGACGGCAAAACGTTAAGAGACAAAGGATCTGGTGTTGAGGGCGAAATGTTAAGAGACAAAGGATCTGGTGTGGACGGCAAAACGGAAAGAGACAAAGGATCTGGTGTGGACGGCAGAACGTTCAGAGACAAAGGATCTGGTGTGGGCGGCGAAACGTTAAGAGACAAAGGATCTGGTGCGGAACAAAAGGGTAAGTGGCAAAGGATCTGGTGTGGACGGCAAATGTTAAGAGAAAAAGATCTGGTGTGGACGGCGAAATGTTAAGAGACAAACGATCTGGTGTGGAACAAAGGGGTAAGTTACAAAGCATCTGGTGTGGACAGCAAAACGTTAAGAGACAAAGGATCTTGTGTGGAACAAAAGGGTAAGAGATAAAAGATCTGGTGAGGAACAAAGGGGTAAGTTACAAATGATCTGGCGTGGACGGCGAAATGTTAAGAGACAAAGGATCTGGTATTGACGGCGAAATGTTAAGGGACAAAGGATCTGGTGTTGACGGCGAAATGTTAAGAGACAAAGGATCTGGCGTGGATAGCAAAATGTAAAGGGACAAAGGATCTGGTATGGATGGTGAAATGTTAAGAGACAAAGGATCTGGTGTTGACGGCGAAATGTTAAGGGACAAAGGATCTGGTGTTGACGGCGAAATGTTAAGCGACAAAGGATCTGGTGTTGATGGCGAAATGTTAAGGGACAAAGGATCTGGTGTTGACGGCGAAATGTTAAGCGACAAAGGATCTGGTGTGGACGGCAAAATGTTAAGAAACAAAGCATCAGGTGTGGACGGCAAAATGTTAAGAAACAAAGGATCAGGTGTGGACGGCAAAATGTTAAGAGACAAAGGATCTGGTGTTGATGGCGAAATGTTAAGAGGCAAAGGATCTGGTGTGGACGGCGAAATGTAAATAGACAAAGCATCTGGTGTGGACAGCAAAACGGAAAGAGACAAAGGATCTGGTGTGGACGGCGAAAAGTTAAGAGACAAAGGATCTGGTGTTGACGGCGAAACGTTAAGAGACAAAGGATCTGGTGTTGATGGCGAAATGTTAAGAGACAAACGATCTGGTGTGGACGGCGGAATGTTAATAGACAAAGCATCTTGTGTGGACGGCAAAACGGAAAGAGACAAAGGATCTGGCGTGGACAGCAAAATGTTAAGGGACAAAGGATCTGGTATGGATGGCGAAATGTTAAGAGACAAAGGATCTGGTGTGGACAGCAAAATGTTAAGAGAGAAAGGATCTGGTGTTGACGGCGAAATGTTAAGGGACAAAGGATCTGGCGCGGATAGCAAAATGTTAAGAGAGAAAGGATCTGGTATGGACGGCGAAATTTTAAGAGACAAAGGATCTGGCGTGGACAGCAAAATGTTAAGGGACAAAGGATCTGGTATGGATGGCGAAATGTTAAGAGACAAAGGATCTGGCATGGACAGCAAAATGTTAAGGGACAAAGGATCTGGTATTGATGGCGAAATGCTAAGAGACAAAGGATCTGGTGTGGACGGCGAAATGTTAAGAGAGAAAGGATCTGGTATGGACGGCGAAATGTTAAGAGACAAAGGATCTGGCGTGGACAGCAAAATGTTAAGAGGAAAAGGATCTGGTGTGGACGGCGAAATGTAAATAGACAAAGCATCTGGTGTGGACAGCAAAACGTAAAGAGACAAAGGATCTGGTGTGGACGGCGAAAAGTTAAGAGACAAAGGATCTGGTGTTGACGGTGAAACGTTAAGAGACAAAGGATCTGGTGTTGATGGCGAAATGTTAAGAGACAAGCGATCTGGTGTGGACGGCGGAATGTTAATAGACAAAGCATCTTGTGTGGACGGCAAAACGGAAAGAGACAAAGGATCTGGCGTGGACAGCAAAATGTTCAGGGACAAAGGATCTGGTATGGATGGCGAAATGTTAAGAGACAAAGGATCTGGTGTGGACAGCAAAATGTTAAGAGAGAAAGGATCTGGTGTTGACGGCGAAATGTTAAGGGACAAAGGATCTGGCGTGGATAGCAAAATGTAAAGGGACAAAGGATCTGGTATGGATGGCGAAATGTTAAGAGACAAAGGATCTGGTGTTGACGGCGAAATGTTAAGCGACAAAGGATCTGGTGTTGACGACGAAATGTTAAGGGACAAAGGATCTGGTGTTGACGGCGAAATGTTAAGAGACAAAGGATCTGGTGTGGACGGCGAAATGTTAAGAAACAAAGGATCTGGTGTGGACGGCAAAATGTTAAGAGACAAAGGATCTGGCGTGGAACAAACGGGTAAGTTACAAATGATCTGCCGTGGACGGCGAAATGTTAAGAGACAAAGGATCTGGTATGGACGGCGAAATGTTAAGACACAGAGGATCTTGTGTTGGACGGCGAAATGTTAAGGGACAAAGGATCTGGTGTGGACGGCGAAATGTTAACAGAGAAAGGATCTGGTATGGACGGCGAAATGGTAAGAGACAAAGGATCTGGCGTGGACAGCAAAATGTTAAGGGACAAAGGATCTGGTATGGATGGCGAAATGTTAAGAGACAAAGGATCTGGCGTGGACAGCAAAATGTTAAGGGACAAAGGATCTGGTATTGATGGCGAAATGCTAAGAGACAAAGGATTTGGTGTTGACGGCGAAATGTTAAGAGAGAAAGGATCTGGTATGGACGGCGAAATGTTAAGAGACAAAGGATCTGGCGTGGACAGCAAAATGTTAAGGGACAAAGGATCTGGTATGGATGGCGAAATGTTAAGAGACAAAGGATCTGGTGTGGACGGCGAAATGCTAAGAGAGAAAGGATCTGGTGTTGACGGCGAAATGTTAAGGGACAAAGGATCTGATGTTGACGGCGAAATGTTAAGCGACAAAGGATCTGGTGTGAACGGCAAAATGTTAAGAAACAAAGGATCTGGTGTTGACGGCAAAATGTTAAGAGAGAAAGGATCTGGTATGGACGGCGATATGTTAAGAGACAAAGGATCTGGTGTGGACGGCGAAATGTGAAGAGACAAAGGATCTGGTGTTGGCGGCGAAATGTTAAGAGACAAAGGATCTGGTGTTGACGGCGAAATGTTAAGCGACAAAGGATCTGGTGTGGACGGCGAAAGGGTAAGTGACAAAGGATCTGGTGTGGACGGAGAAAGGTTAAGTGACCAACGATCTGGTGTGGACGGAGAAAGGGTAAGTGACAAACGATCTGGTGTGGACGGAGAAAGGGTAAGTGACAAACGATCTGGTGTGGACGGAGAAAGGGTAAGTGACAAACGATCTGGTGTGGATGGAGAAAGGTTAAGTGACAAACGATCTGGTGTGGAACACAAGGGTAAGTGACAAAAGATCTGGTGTGGACGGAGAAAGGGTAAGTGACAAACGATCTGGTGTGGACGGAGAAAGGTTAAGTGACAAACGTTCTGGTGTGGAACACAAGGGTGAGTGACACACGATCTGGATGACGGAGAAAGGGTAAGTGACAAACGATCTGGTGTGGAATACAAGGGTAAGTGACACACGATCTGGTGTGGAACACAAGGGTGAGTGACACACGATCTGGAGGACGGTTTATTGTATGCTGCTCACAATCTAAGGTGTTTCAGTTTCAGTACAGAGAGACAAATGTCATCTCTGTTTGGTAAATGTACCAAAGCAGTATATAAAATATTGACCATGAACATTTTGCGATTGTGTTTACATCAGCAACTCATTATCGCCCCGCTTTATGTACATATGAATTGACGGATATGTAAAATTGAAATTATATGAGAGTTTTCTAAACGTTGGACAATTTCAATAAACGAAAATCAGATTTAAGGCAATTAACTAGGAAGTTAATCCAAATCGTTTTTCGAATCAATAAATCGTCCTAATAAGTCAGACTTGGTCGACCCATGTTTAAATATCGCTATTATAAATATTTACATTAATAGCTCATCGATAAAATGCTAAACGTCTTCCATGAGGTTCAGGTAAAATAAAAAACCATGTTCGACGTGGCTTTTCAAAAGAGATGCATTAAACATGAGAGCACCTACACACCGTCCTTTACAAATACAAAAGTTCAATATACATACAAAAGCATATTGATTTTTGGTGTTTAGTTCCAACAGAAAGGCTGGTATATGCGGACCGGGCAATGCTTCAGGACGCGCTTACCTTAGGTACGTAATTTGTAATTGCCTTGAACTGGAAAAGCCTTGAATAATTCAAAGACAGTTATGTGTCGCTATGACAACATGTGCTGAAGGAAAATCAATATATACAACAAGGGACATCGCTGAATACCCGGATCTATGAACAGTTAGAGTCCGGATGTGACATGAATATCAATGACATTTGAAGACTAGCGAGATTTGGACGAGACTGGTGCTCATGTGGTTCTGAATAAATCACGTATCACGTAAATCGATTATGTACGGTGAGGTATATATTTTGGACAGTTTTTGACGAGGCTTTATCATCTGACGTCACTTTTAGGTTCAATTAGTTTTTCTCTCGCAATGGCAATCATTTCCCTCAGTTACAATTTGTTACAAAGTTTATCATTTTCAATACAAATGAACGATCAATTCGTACTTATCCTCAGATCCTAAAATCCCCAAACGTGTCTCTATACTTGAACAAGTGTTCATCACCGATGCAAAATTACTGAAAAACATATTTGAAAACCTCCGGATATGGAGAATCATTTATTCAACCCTGGTATCGTGCATCACATATAGTACCCCTAGTGAAGACCATCAGGTTACACAACCATAACACAGAGGGCCATAAATAACCCACTGCTCAATATGGTCACATGTACCATCCAAATGTATTCCACTCTGATATAGAGCATCATACCCAGATGTATATTTTCACATGCGCCACCCCGACATAGAGTCGTGTACATCATCCCGATACAGAGAATAATACATCGCCCAGGTGTAGAGGATCATATACAATACCCAGATGTAGAGGACCATATACACCACCATCATGTGGAGGATTACATACACCACCCTGATATAGAGGATCATATACACCACCCTGATATAGAGGATTACATACACCACCCTGATATAGAGGATTACATACACCACCCTGATATAGAGTATTACATACACCACCCTGATATAGAGGATTACATACACCACCCTGATATAGAGGATCACATACACCACCCTGATATAGAGGATCACAAACACCACCCTGATATAGAGGATTACATACACCACCCTGATATAGAGGACCATATACACCACCCTGATATAGAGGATTACATACACCACCCTGATATAGAGGATTACATACACCACCCTGATATAGAGGATCACATACACCACCCTGATATAGAGGATCACAAACACCACCCTGATATAGAGGATTACATACACCACCCTGATATAGAGGACCATACACCACCCTGATATAGAGGACCATATACACCACCCTGATATAGAGGATTACATACACCACCCTGATATAGAGGATTACATACACCACCCTGATATAGAGGATCACATACACCACCCTGATATAGAGGATCACAAACACCACCCTGATATAGAGGATTACATACACCACCCTGATATAGAGGACCATATACACCACCCTGATATAGAGGATTACCTACACCACCCTGATATAGAGGATTACATACACCACCCTGATATAGAGGATTACATACACCACCCTGATATAAAGGATTACATACACCACCCTGATATAGAGGATCACATACACCACCCTGATATAGAGTATCACATACACCACCCTGATATAGAGGACCATATACACCACCCTGATATAGAGGATCACATACACTACCCTGATATAGAGGATCACATACACCACCCTGATATAGAGGATCACATACACCACCCTGATATAGAGGACCATATACACCACACTGATATAGAGGAACACATACACCATCCTGATATAGAGGATCATATACACCACCCTGATATAGAGGATCATATACACCACCCTGATATAGAGGATCATATACACAATCATGATACGGAGAATAAATAATACATCGCCCAGGTAAAGACGATTGCATAGACTACCCAGGTGTACACCACCTTCATGAAGGGGATTATATACGGCACCCATGTGTAGAGGATCATATATACAACATTCACGTTAAAGATCATAAAAATACGACCTTCATGTACGGGATCATATACACAACCTTCATGAAGAGAATCATATATACGACCTTCATGTAGAGGATCATCTACACAACCTTCATGTAGAGGATCATCAACACAACCTTCGTGTAGAGGATCATCTACACAACCTTCACGTTGAAGATCATATACACAATCTTCATGAAGAGGATTATAGTATGACCAGAAATTATTGCGAATTTTAGGAATATGTTTAATTGGATTTCTAGTATAAACAACCTTGACCAGCTATCAAGTGATTGGTTTCATTCAAGAGAGACAACTCCGTTAATCCTTTTTCGTTAGTTTGTGAAGAGTTATCCTCCTCTGTTTACTTGCTAGCAGACGACATTTTCAGTGATCCTCAGTATGGATGATTTAGAGAAGAGGAAGTTGATTTTAGAGTATTGTAACAAGTACATCAGATCAGCTAAAGTGATTTCAAGTAGAACAGGCATCCCCTTGTCCACTGTTTATCGTGTTTTGAAAAATATTGCAAATGGATATGGCATTGAGCACCAGGGAGGCGCAAGTAGGCCCAGAAAATTAACTGTCGGTGACGGGGCGGCTTGGTATTGTTGTTTCTAAAAACAACCGAAGGAGTTTAGAAAACTTAAGGCTGGATATGATTGATAGAGGAACTGTGGCTGTTTGTAAGGAGACAATTAGAACTGAGCTGCATGCAATGGGTTGGCACAAAAGTCGCGGAATTCCATCACCGATCACGAAACCTGAACAAAAGGACCGAAGGTTGAACTGGTGCTTACAGCATAGAAATTTTAACTGGGACAGATGAAAGTTATGTGTGGCTGTTTTCTAATACACTGAAATTCTGGACCAAACAAACTGAAATACCTTTGTATCAGCGTCCAAAGTACAGTCCGAATTTAACGTGTGGGGTGGCATATCTGTGTTAGGGTCAACGCCCCTCTGTGTACTTGAAGGGAATATGAACAGTGAGCGGTACACAGATATTCTCGAGGGACATTTACTTCCATCTGCTCACGTGTTTTATGGAAATTTTTGGATTTTCCAGCAGGACAACGACCCAAAGCATCGTTCAAAGCATTGACAGGCCTGGTTTCGGACCCAAAATATGACATTATTAGATTGGCCAAGCTATAGCCCTGAACTAAATCCAATAGAAAATGTTTGGGGACTTATGAAGGAAAGTGTCAATAAGAAAAATCTGACAAATATTGCTGAAATGAAAAAAGAGGTGGTCCGATATTGGGACAGCATGGACCACGACTTTCTAACTTCTTTGATCAGTAGTATGCCCCGCCGCATTGAAGCTTGCATTGCTGCCTATGGTGACTTGACAAACTACTAACTGTTCACCTGTCTTTGAATCTGGAGTTATGTTCGGCTTATATTCACATTTAATACGTGAGTAATGAGTGAAAAAAAAGAAGAAAATTACAATCTTTAAATTCTCAATAGTTTCTGGTTGTACTGTATATACGGCACCCTCGTGTAGAGGATCATATACACAACCTTCATGTAGAGGATCATATACACAACCTTCACGTTGAAGTTCATATACACACCCTTCATGTAGAGTATCATTTACACAACCTTCACGTTGAAGTTCATATACACACCCTTCATGTAGAGTATCATTTACACAACCTTCATGAAGAGTATCATTTACACAACCTTCATGAAGAGTATCATTTACACAACCTTCATGAAGAGTATCATTTACACAACCTTCATGAAGAGTATCATTTACACAACCTTCATGAAGAGGATCATTTACACAACCTTCATACACACCCTTCAAGAGTATCACAACCTTCATGTTGAGAGGATCATATACACAACCTTCATGTAGAGTATCATTTACACACCCTTCATGTAGAGGTATCACCTTATACAACCTTCACGTTGACCACGGCCCTTCATCATATACAGGATCATATACACACAACCTTCACGTTGAAGATCATATATACACCTTCATATACACAGAGTCATCATATACACACCCTTCATGTAGAGGATCATATACACAACCTTCATGTAGAGGATCATATACACAACCTTCATGAAGAGGATCATATACACAACCTTCACGTTGAAGATCATATACACAACCTTCATGAAGAGGATCATATACACAACCTTCATGAAGAGGATCATATACACAACCCTCTCGTTGAAGATCATATACACAACCTTCACGTTGAAGATCATATACACAACCTTCATGAAGAGGATCATATACACAACCCTCTCGTTGAAGATCATATACACAACCTTCATGAAGAGGATCATATATACACAACCTTCACGTTGAAGATCATATACACACCCTTCATGAAGAGGATCATATACACAACCTTCATGAAGAGGATCATTTACACACCTTCATGTAGAGGATCATATACACAGCCTTCATGAAAAGGATCATATACACACCCTTCATGAAGAGGATCATATACACAACCTTCACGTTGAAGATCATATACACAACCTTCATGTAGAAGATCATATACACAACCTTCATGAAGAGGATCATATACACAACCTTAATTTTCATGTAGAGGATCATATATTTCTGGAAACCCCTGTTTCGTGTACATACGGCAACCACAATGTGGGTATCACCGCAATATAACATAACCTTACTCTTAGTCCGGGATTGAGTTTTATGCTACTGAAGAATAATTAGCGAGATAGTGTGCCAATGTTTAGACATTACTTCCACTGGAGCATTCCTGGCACCTACGTTCTGTCTCCACAGACAGCTTATCATCGGCTGCATATTGAAGAGGCTAGTCGAGCTTGACGAATCCATTACGCAAGGTTTGTAGAATTGGCATTATACTCCAGCAATCAATCGTATAGTGATAGAGGGGAGAGGGAATTATCAGCAATCAATGACGTTGTCAATAATCCATGACAATGCCTGGACACCATTGTTTGTGTTGCCAGGGCCAGAGGCTGTGTTGGATGTAACAGAATTCCATCCTCATCACAGCCGCTGTGATAAGATGAAGCAGCTAAAACCTGTACTCAAAGAAGGTTTGAAGTTCACCACATTTAATTATCACAAATCGCAAACACAATACACAAACAGATCACAAGCGGAAATTTTGTCTCAAACGTCGGGTATTCAGCAATCGGTATACACAGCACGCACACGTCCAAGTGGGGTCAGTTATTCTTTATCCAGCACAACACAGTCAACAAGAGGGCAACAAGAGTTAATGTAAACAGGAATGGTTGGGGGAAACTTCATTACCGAGACGGTTGTGCTATAATTTCTATAGATTACTGGATGCGATTAATGTATATTTTGTAGTTGACACTAAACTGACTAAATATAACGTTTTAAATCCCTGATAAGCTTGTAGACGTCACGCTTAACCCGTTTCAAGCCTTCAGTCGAAGAGTAAATTAGTCTTTGTGACTGATTACACAGAACACCACCGCCACCACAGCAACTCAAATTAAGTATTCCACGAAGAAATAACACTGACTAAGAAAATGCCATTTTATCATGAAGTCATTTTGTTAGAAAAGGCAACAACCCCGTACAGATTCCTTTGAATGAATATCAACTCAAACTGTTATGAATGTCTCTTCAAAGAGGTCAACATATAAACTAATCATACTGTCACATCCTTGTTTCAACAAAGACAGGAGTTGGGGTGATTTCGGCTGGATCTTCCACTTCTTGGATGGTATTTGGAAGTTTCCTCTGGTGGGTCTCTGGTAGGAAGAATGTGGCGACTGCGACAATGACGGTCATGACGCCGAACACAATGATGGGGGCAGCCTCGGACGTGTGCTGACCCTGTAGATAGATGGTGTGACTAATTCATACACCTTCACAACAAACTATAAGGGGTAAGAGTTCCTCCCGTTCCCCAATCCCAAATAATATTTATAAATTAATATATACTAAAATTATTAACAAAACCTAACACAACAATTACTAGAGAACTCACAAAAATAACTAAAAGCCCCAAAATTAATAACAACATGTAGGGTCGAACCAGGTTGTGTTACCTATCTGCGTTAATCTGAGGAAGAAAGAAGTGGGGGAACGGAAGGAACTCTTTCCCTATAAGGGTTTTGCTATTTTTCATGACGTGCATGTAGCAAACATTTGGAATATCTGAAGTGAATTTTCGTCATTCTTTACACACTTCACTCGTGGAATCAGGAAATCCTGACAATCAGGAAAACCGCTTACAGTGAGTGAGTCTATTTTTACGCGGCCTTTAGCAATATTCCAGCAATATCACGATGGGGGACACCAGAAATGGGCTTCACACATTGTACCCATGTGGGGAATCGAACCATGGTCTTCAGCGTGACGAGCGAACGCTTTAACCACTACGCTACCCCACCACCCCGCTAACAACGAACTGGTTATAACAACTTGGAGGTTATGTGAACACACATATTAAGTTTTGCTGTGCCTACGCCAAACGTGGTATTCTTGCTCACGAAGACGTAAATGTAAAGTGAGAGAACTATATGATTGTATTTAAACTCTGCACGTACCAATCTGTTTATCTGTGGTGCAACAACTCCACCCACACGAGTCCAAAATGCGCACGTGCCCATACCAATATTTCTACAACGACACAAACATTTTGTCAGTAATAATTATTTCATACATTAACGCGTAATTAACATTCAGTGAGAAGCAGTGTTAGATAACATAGGCAACAAGTCATCATTTATTTACGACTAGTGAGACAAAAGGTTATAACCTTATATAAAATGTATAATATTGGGTGTTCTTTTAGTGTTACATTTTATATGATGTTCCTCTCTACTCGCCATCTTGTTTTCTGTCAGCCTCACTAATGTGATCACTGTCTGTCCTGTACGCTTCAGCGTCCTGAGCGGCTCATCAAGTGAAATGATGTATTTAGTTGTATATATCTGCATCAGGTGAAATGATGTATTTAGTTGTACGCAGATGTATACAACTAAATACATCATTTCACCTGATGCAGATGTATACAACTAAATACATCATATCACCTGATGCAGATGTATACAACTAAATACATCATATCACCTGATGCAGATGTATACAACTAAATACATCATTTCACCTGATGCAGATGTATACAACTAAATACATCATATCACCTGATGCAGATGTATACAACTAAATACATCATTTCACCTGATGCAGATGTATACAACTAAATACATCATTTCACCTGATGCAGATGTATACAACTAAATACATCATATCACCTGATGCAGATGTATACAACTAAATACATCATATCACCTGATGAGCCGCTCAATAGGCTCAAGGGCAACCACTCCAGCCAGATGTCGGAACAATGAAGAAACAATTAGGAAATCGGGACAGGGTGCACACAGCAAAGTTGTCTGCACGGATTGCATCTGAGTGCACGACATCCACCTGTCATCCCACAACGTCCTGTACGTCACTTGCATCAGAGGTGTCAGTGGTGAAGGAAACGTCAACCCTGATATAATCGATGATGTTTTCTGATGAATTGAGGTTCATTGTCGACTTCAATGACGGAAAGAAACGAACATGGTGCCTACGAGTCTTCATGGACATTAAAGTCATACAGCATAATGGGTTGTTGGGGGGCGGGGCCCAGCCTACGAGTCTTCATGGACATTAAAGTCATACAGCATGATGGGTTGTTGGGGGGCGGGGCCCAGCCTACGAGTCTTCATGGACATTAAAGTCATACAGCATGATGGGTTGTTGGGGGGCGGGGCCCAGCCTACGAGTCTTCATGGACATTAAAGTCATACAGCATGATGGGTTGTTGGGGGGCGGGGCCCAGCCTACGAGTCTTCATGGACATTAAAGTCATACAGCATGACGGGTTGTTTGGGGGCGGGGCCCAGCGCTATTGCGACAGTATCATTGCATCATTCATGTTGCCATTTGCGCAGCGTTTCAACTTTCACTACGTTACTTCTCGTGTTAATCGGATTTGTGTCCCAATTTCTCCAACAGCAAACTATCCGTGTCAACCTTGTCCTTTTTCCCTCAGTGAATTGGTCTGGGACATCTTTGGCAGCGTACATGACAACTTCAAAGTTATTCCACCACTGAGTGCGAACTGAAAGAACTCGGCTCTGCTCTTACCGATGAGTGGAACAACATGGATCAAGACGACATTGTCTGGCCAAGGGAAGTGATATTACCCGATGTTAGTGACGCTGGTTGCAAAATGCAAATTCTGAATATGACAACCCTCTTTAACGACCCATTGCGCCACCATCTCATCACACCAGCCAATGGAACCCTTTAAATCTGATCGCCTACTTCCCAGCGGATATAATCATATCATGTCCAAGATATGTCTTGATGATTTACGCAATCCCCTATGTTTGTCACAGTTTATATACGACTAAAGAGACCGTCTCACCTGATGACAGTTGGGTACACTTCAGACGTATACATGAATATCAAACTGAACAGTCCACCCACAGCGAATCGTCCAACTATGGCGAAACCAGTTGATACGAGAGTCATGTCAACACCGGAATCTAAAAAACAAACATACGTTTTGTGCAGCCGTGGTATATTTCATTGATTTTAATTCAGGTATAAAGATTACACGTGACTGAAAAAGAAGGCAAATGGATTGCCGCTGCTTTACAATGAACAAACTAGAGATTTTACCTAATTTCTACATAATGGGATATGGAAAGATGGGTTGGTTATTTCAAGTCTCGATCATTCCTCTTGCTCTCCAATGGTCAGTTTTGCACTAGCTTGGCGACTCTAACCTTCTAACGAATGGGTACAACGAGTACTAAAATAAAGGTAGGTAAGAGAGACCGAGAAAAAGTTTGTGTTTTGTGTTTTAACTGTCTTTATGTTATAATTCTAGGCGTAGATCTTTGTCATCTATCACTTTATCATTGATTTTTCAACATAATGTATGTTTTTGCACACAAAACTAATTGTTTTGCATCAAGTTTGTATGCCGAAAATATATGTGACAACAATGTGGGTGATATAAAGTGATGTTGCTGGGTGTAGAACGGGGACGCAAGGTGCCAGTATTACCCGTCTCTCCTGGTGGCAACGCCCCTGCTATGATGCACGTCACAGCAGCCAGCAAGGCAAAGGAAATGATCGCAACTCTTCGCTTAACCCTGTAATGTACAACATATTCAATCCACAAAAAAGGCCAAGAAATAGGGGTGTATACTGACTTCACGGATATCCCTGCCTGACCTGCCTGAGTATGGTTTTACGCCGCTTTTAGCAATATTCCAGCAACATCACGGCGGGGGATACCAGAAATGGGCTTAACACATTGTGCCCATGTGGGGAATCGAACCCGGGTCTTCGGCGTGACGAGCCAACGCTTTAACCACTAGGCTACCCCACCGCCCCCACGGATATCCTAGTGAAGAATGTAAGGAAGACCTATCGGGGTGTATACTGACTTCACTGATATCCTAGTGAAGGACGTAAGGAAGACCTATCGGGGTGTATACTGACTTCACTGATATCCCAGTGAAGGATGTAAGGAAGACCTATCGGGTGTATACTGACTTCACTGATATCCTAGTGAAGGACGTAAGGAAGACCTATCGGGGTGTATACTGACATCACTGATATCCCAGTGAAGGATGTAAGGAAGACCTATCGGGTGTATACTGACTTCACTGATATCCTAGTGAAGGACGTAAGGAAGACCTATCGGGGTGTATACTGGCTTCACTGATATCCCAGTGAAGGATGTAAGGAAGACCTATCTTTTGTATACTGACTTCATTGATATCCCAGTGAAGGACGTAAGGAAGACCTATCGGGTGTATACTGACTTCACTGATATCCTAGTGAAGGATGTAAAGAAGACCTATCGGGTGTATACTGACTTCACTGATATCCCAGTGAAGGATGTAAGGAAGACCTATCGGGTGTATACTGACTTCACTGATATCCCAGTGAAGGACGTAAGGAAGACCTATCGGGGTGTATACTGACTTCACTGATATCCCAGTGAAGGATGTAAGGAAGACCTATCGGGTGTATACTGACTTCATTGATATCCCAGTGAAGGACGTAAGGAAGACCTATCGGGTGTATACTGACTTCACTGATATCCCAGTGAAGGACGTAAGGAAGACCTATCGGGTGTATACTGACTTCACTGATATCCCAGTGAAGGATGTAAGGACTGACTGACTGACTGCGTTTGGTTTTACGATGCTTTTAGCAATATTCCAGCAACATCACGGCGGGGGACACCAGAAATGGGCTTCACACATTGTACCCATGTGGGGATTCGAACCCGGGTCTTCGGCGTGACGAGCCAACGTTTTAACCACTACTCTACCCCACCGCCCCCGAAGGACGTAAGGAAGACATATCGGGGTGTATACTGACTTCACTGATATCCTAGTGAAGGATTTAAGGAAGACCTATCGGGGTGTATACTGACTTCTATGATATCCCAGTGAAGGATGTAAGGAAGACCTATCGGGGTGTATACTGACTTCACTGATATCCTAGTGAAGGACGTAAGGAAGACCTATCGGGGTGTATACTGACTTCACTGATATCCCAGTGAAGGATGTAAGGAAGACCTATCGGGTGTATACTGACTTCACTGATATCCTAGTGAAGGACGTAAGGAAGACCTATCGGGGTGTATACTGACTTCACTGATATCCCAGTGAAGGATGTAAGGAAGACCTATCGGGTGTATACTGACTTCACTGATATCCCAGTGAAGGACGTAAGGAAGACATATCGGGGTGTATACTGACTTCACTGATATCCCAGTGAAGGATGTAAGGAAGACCTATCGGGTGTATACTGACTTCACTGATATCCCAGTGAAGGACGTAAGGAAGACCTATCGGGGTGTATACTGACTTCACTGATATCCCAGTGAAGGATGTAAGGAAGACCTATCGGGTGTATACTGACTTCATTGATATCCCAGTGAAGGACGTAAGGAAGACCTATCGGGTGTATACTGACTTCACTGATATCCCAGTGAAGGACGTAAGGAAGACCTATCGGGTGTATACTGACTTCACTGATATCCCAGTGAAGGATGTAAGGACTGACTGACTGACTGCGTTTGGTTTTACGATGCTTTTAGCAATATTCCAGCAACATCACGGCGGGGGACACCAGAAATGGGCTTCACACATTGTACCCATGTGGGGATTCGAACCCGGGTCTTCGGCGTGACGAGCCAACGTTTTAACCACTACTCTACCCCACCGCCCCCGAAGGACGTAAGGAAGACATATCGGGGTGTATACTGACTTCACTGATATCCTAGTGAAGGATTTAAGGAAGACCTATCGGGGTGTATACTGACTTCTATGATATCCCAGTGAAGGATGTAAGGAAGACCTATCGGGGTGTATACTGACTTCACTGATATCCTAGTGAAGGACGTAAGGAAGACCTATCGGGGTGTATACTGACTTCACTTATATCCTAGTGAAGGATGTAAGGAAGATCTATCGGGGTGTATACTGACTTCACTGATATCCTAGTGAAGGACGTAAGGAAGACCTATCGGGGTGTATACTGACTTCACTGATATCCCAGTAAAGGACGTAAGGAAGACCTATCGGGATATATATATCAGTAATGAGGTTAAGCGACTTAATTATGCACAAATAAAGGCTAGGTAATCGTTTAAACAAATGTGTTTTGCTTTCAATCGGGATACCTGTGCACAGACGGTACAGACAACGCCACCGAGTTTTGACTGATTGGAGATGGTGCGGATTGGCGAATAAATACTGTTCATAAAAAATATTCATAAAATATAATGGATAGCAAGAAACCCGGCTTAACTTTACACACCAGTGACGCTTATGGTACCAGCATGTTGGCACTGCATTCAATTTACGAAAAGAATGATAAGCGGTCAGCTTTTTATGATAAATATCAAAACGTATTCTTCTTTGCTGACGGCCATTTCATTCCTATTGTTCAATGAATGCGCTGGCCGGTTAATGACGTTTCGAAGGTCGTATATGTAACACATAAACTAAGACACATATTTATTCTTTCTGTAAGCATAAAGAAAAGATGTAACGATGTATAACCTTCAAGTGAGTGAGTTAGTTCAGTTTTACGCCGCACTAGCAATCTTCCAGCTATATGTCGACGGTCTGTAAATAATCGAGTCTGGACCAGACATTCCAGTGATCAACAGCATGAGCATCGATCTGCGCAATTGGGAACCGATCACATGTGTCAACCAAGCCAGTGAGCCTGACCACCCGACCCCGTTAGTCGCCTCTTACGACAAGCGTGGGTTACTGAATGCCAATATTCTAACCCGGATCTTCACGGGTCTATTACATTCAACTGCGTAATAAATATTCTGTATAATGACATAACTGCCATTCCTAAATCAGATAAACTAATTCATTTAGTTTCCATGATTAAATTTGAGGGAAAATGGTGTGAATACAATTAAAATATGAATAGAGAAAACACTGAATCTCATAGACGTTAAGAGTTATTACCTTTAATGCAACACAACGCTTGGAAACGACAACTGGTTACCATTAAAATAAAATTAGCAATCGGTGGTCACAAATAGACGCGGCTAATCTTCAGTCGAATCGCCGTAATGTTTGCGTTGACCTTGGCGTTGTAGTGGAGCTGTTGTGATAAATAGAGGAGTCGCATATCATGACTTGGTGATTTACTTCATCATGAAATACATCTTTTGCCCGGTACTGTAGTTGCATCATGACAGGAGCGGTGGGGTAGCCTAATGGTTAAAGCGTCCGCTCGTCCCGCTGAAGACATGGGTTCGATTCCCGGTATGTGTGAAGCCCATTTCTGGTGTCCCAGTGATATTGCTGGAATAATGCTAAAAGCGGCGTAAAACCTCACTCCCTCACGCGCGCACTTACTCACTCACTCATCATGACATACATGAATTGCCCATGTGGCATACAATGATGTTTTGACTTACTTCACCATGATATAAATGTCCATGAGGTAGGCAAGCATTTCGACACAGGCACCAATGAAGAAATTGAGGTACTTGTTGCCAGCCAGTGATGTGATCTTGAAAGTTAATCCATAGTAACCAACTGCAACTGCAAACCTAGATCCATATAAACAGCATTGGTATTAACGATTAGATTAATGAATGATTAAATATTCCGTGCGATAAGAAATGTCAACGAACCTCATCAATCTTGCGACAGGAAGATGTTAAATATGAATCTATTTCTGAATGAGTGATTCGTGGTTTCATATTAGAGACCTGTATTTGTGGAATGGTATTTTGATTTCAGCTTATCGCGACAGCTTATTCAGACACTTCATTGTAATATTTCATCTTGTTCGGGGACAAAAATGGTTAAATAGAGAATTATGATCATCATATGTAGAAGAGTAAACAACTTATCGTGAAAGGTGGTAAACTTTTCATTCAGACACATCATTCTAATATTTCATCTTGTTCGGAGACAAACAGGTTCGAAAGATAATTTTAATCACCATATGTAGAAGAGGAGAATACTTCGCTTCCTTATCTGAGGGGTCTTGAACAGATCTGTGAAGGTGTATTGCTGTTGAGAAGACGCTTCTTTGTCTTCTGTCATAGAACGCACCGATGCCCAGGACTCTTTGGGGAAGACCTTCCTGTTGAAGGTGGTTACCTTGGTGACGTACTTCTCCGCGTCGTCCAGTCGTCCGTGCATGATCATCCAGCGTAAGGATTCCGGTATGACGCTGAGGGGTGCCAATAACATGTGGTAATCCGTTTAAGATGATATTCAGAAAAGTTCATCATTATCATATTAAAAATAACAGCGGTTTGAGAGTGAAAGGGTCTTACTCCTCCCTACTACTTATCTTCTTGTCAGTGTTCGTAATGTATGCAGTAATTAGTGCTGGCAGGATTGTGTACGGATACGGTAGCGCTATTTTCAATCTCCTTTTCTCCAGTTCTTTCTATTGTAAAGGTTCTATCAAGGTTAAACGTCAGCTTTCAGTCAAGTGATGTCATGGATGAGGGTAACCGTCTTCAGTCACCTACCATATGTAAAACAGCGCCAGACCGCTTGGTATACTGATTGCCAGCTGTATGTAGCGCCAGTCCCGGATGAGATATGCTAGGGCCGCAACTGCAATGACACTTCCTCCCCAAAAGCATTCCAGAATGGCACCAGCCAAAGACCTATAGCCCGGGACAAACATCTCAGCTACAAGGACGTAAGTACTTATCTGAAGACCCTGCAAGAGATTTCACCAATGACAATGAATATCGGATGTATTAAAGTACGACAAGCATACGATATTATGACCGTGGATGCCATCACTGCGGAAATATTATAGTCTTTCAACATGATAATAAAACTAAATGTATGTAGATCCAACAATCAGTCAACTGTCGTCTAAGTATTTCTTTAAAATGAGATGAAACATTTTGCTTACATTGAATATAAAGCTTGCTATACTTTGTCTCTGTATATGAATCGGTGTGCATAAGTAAATTTTTAAAATATGTAGTGTTTATCTCCGATTGGAATCTGTAAGAGCGGTCATTGTATTTTAACCCTCAGCATAGTAAACTGTTCTTGGTTAGAACCAAATCAGAAACTTGCAAATAATTAGGTATGTGCAAGAAGAAGTAATCAATTTGTGCTGACTATTAAAGTTTCATGTTAAAGCTTACACAATGAGCTGCTAAGACACATAAACACCAATGAAAGACCATTAAAGACCAAATATTTGGCAACTGGAGAGAGAATATCAAGGCTTTACGCCGTGGAAAAGGTCATTGAAGTGTTCACCAAATTTTTCACGGTCAGATGGCCATCTCTTCCTAAACTCGAAGAAAGAACTGTCTGGCAAGCAATATGGAAATGATAGTAAAGCCTCTTCCGTAGTGGAGGACACCAAGAGGAAGCTTTTGTCAGAAATATGTGACTTAGATGGGACTATGTCGACAAATAGTTAGCAGGCAACACCATCGATGTACACGATCACAGTCAGAAACTGTTCAGTTACCCCTCTATCAACATGTTAATGTCAAGTGTGGAGGTCGCGTTCAAATGAATATCGCAAAAACAATATGAGTGAATATTTACCAAACATGTATTTGAATGTATTTTCGTGTACCTGTAGAAAGATGCCTTCCACAAATCGGAGACAAACAAACCAGGTGTAGGACGGCACAAAGTGTATTCCAAGGCCGATGGCCACGGGAGCATACAGAGTGGCGAGCATTATGGGTCTGCGGCCAAACCTATCGGACAGATACCCAAACAGCAGTCCTCCTACCATCACTCCACAGAAATAGATGGTCGTGGCCAGGCTTCGCAGGCTGTCGTCATCGCATACCAAGTCCCACTGTCAATATAGTGGGTTAATTCTACATTAACAATAACAAAAATCATTGAAAACTTTTAATTCCATAGTTGCCTAATCTTTTATAGCAAGTCTTATTGTGATAAATAGGGAATCTCTCCCAAGTATCTTCTGATATCAATTATATCAACACGAGTTGATCAAGTTACAAATATCCGAGGCTTACCGAGGATATTTTAACATTTATCAACGAGTGTTGATATATTTGATATCAGAAGACACGAGGGTGAGATTCTATTTCTCATCCAGAATCACTCTTCATTAGTTTTCAATGAAAAATGTACATATCTGAACACGGTACTGTCATTAGACTTGCAGTACAGCGATGTCAAAGCATTGTGACGTCATCAAGTTCATGACGTAATAGCATTGTCAGGGCATTGTACAAAATCTACTGTCAAAACGATATTTCCTAGGAGATATCGTTTGATCTCACACAAGCAATATCTCCTGTGGAACACAGTTTTGGATGATAGATGTACTGACAGTTCCACAGATTTTAATTAGAATGAGTTACAAACAAAAGTTGGTCCATTCCAATTAGAAAAACGAAATGTCATCTGTACTAGCGTTGAAAGTATATCAACGTGCGCGTTGACATATTGTATTTTCAATAACTGCAAAATTGATTTAATATTTTGGATAGTGTGTTACCAACACTATCTAATACACGTAAATATTGTGTGGAGGGGGAACTAGCGACTGTTGACCGGCATCACATCAATGGTAGGCAGAGTTAAGATTCCCATGGGTCTAAAACATCATGTTGTCGGAGGAATTATTATTCTTTATCTTCAGAAATGCGTAATGTGCATCATTCTCATGTGCAACAAAATATCTGAAGTGAAAAAATAAAATATTTAGCTATATTTTTTCACGATTAGCAAGGGTTTTTACGCACGAGGAGTGGGACGATGAGTGCGTTACTATCAGGTAGGCAGGTGGGTAGGTAGGTAGGTAGGTAATGTTTTTAGGGCGACCTTGGGCCTCAAAAGGCCTATATGCGCCCAACACTTAACAAACTGTTATATTTATGTTCAGTTAAATTATGTCTTACTTCCCCGTTTTAACGAGGAAGTCTAACACAGCTCTTTGTATGCAACCATGCATTAAATTATCACCATGTATTGTGTACATTGTAAAAAGTTTTTGGTTTTGTTAAGGACAGTTACTTTAAGAGCCTCATGTGGTGTTATTATCCTGTACCTCCGTCCCAATAGTTGTCTCCCTTCCATCCGTGTCATACGTCCATTGGCCTGGCTTACAGTCCAGGGTGAGGTTGACACCATCTTCCAGGAAGAGTCTTGTGTCACACTCTCCATATTCTTGACCAATAACTGTCTTATTGATAGAATTATGAAAAAAGAAAGAGATATTTCCGACGGCGTGACAGGTGTGTGTAATCCGAGCGCCAAAGAACGCCATGATGACGTGGTTAAACACCAGCGGGCAGTAGTTGAAACAGAGCAGGATGAAGACAAGTATTTGGAATCTTCCTGTTTTTCCCAACTCGCCAATTAGTTCATCCATCTTTACACTCAGCGGTGACACCTTGTCATTTGTGGCTCCAGGCTTCTCCATGGTGGCCATTTCCAGTGTGTATTCTACAAATAAGGGACCGTTAATAATTTATGGCTAGGGGGGTGATGATGATTTTAAGTGGGGGGTCATTCATTTTATTCTGCGGAAAACAATATATCTAGATAACCGAGTGAGTGAGTGAGTGAGTATGCTTTTGCGCCGCTTTTTAGCAATGTTAAAACAATTTCACTGCGGGGTACACCAGAAATGGGCTTCACACATTGTGCCCATGTGGGGGAATCGAACCATGATTGTCGGGGTGACGAGTGAACGCCATCACTTGGCTACCCCTCTAGGTAACCGAAATCCAATGTGCAGAGTTGTGCCAGAAACTAGTGCTTACTGACAATGATGAATACTGACAATACTTCGGATTGTAACAACAAATGTATTTAGACGATGTGTTCAGACCTGTGTAACGGATTTTTATATTGACACATAAATTTCACTTAACGTTACATGAAGCAAGTGCAGTGTTTCGCTTAAAGTTACAAACAAGACTTTTCACAGACCTACACTATGTAGCTGATGTACCGCCATGTAACGTGACCCAGGATAAGGATACTTCAGTCATATACCTTGGAATAGGGCATCGACAAAACACCTATCCGTCACACAGTGACAGGATAAGACAACCTCACCTCGAAATACAATGTGTGCTGAACAAATACGTGGAGGCGAGGGAGTTGACATGCCAAAAATTGAGAGAGTCATAAAGACGAGATTAACAGAACCTTGCCAATTGGCGTCACAGACCTAAGAAACCTAATCATCTCATGTAAATGTTGTACCTCATTCCTGTTAATTTTGACATAGGGATAGCTCCCTCTACCGGAATGCAAGGGGATATTATAATGCATGTAAAATTGCTTGCACGTTTATGGGTCTTCACAACTAATTGAAACGCCTCAGCCTCGCCAGTTTTGGGTATTTTGAACCAAGTGTGTATTCATTCACATATCAGAAAATGGCGTCACAACAGAAAGTAAGAGAGACAGAACAGTTATTTTATTCTGCACACAGAAAAGTATTTTGCTTGAGGTGTCAGTCAACCCACAGGAACTGGAGCTTCGCTTTATTGGAGACAATGTTTGTTTTCTCTTATAGAAATGGGTGTCGACCTTTCAGGTACAATGAACTGCTAGCATAAGGTTATAGCATACTATAGAGGCATCATTAGGAGACTGTTCACTAAAGCACCATATACTAAACGAATCTGGACTGCCTCGTTCACTATTACTTTCGCGTTTTTGTGCTGTCACTGCTGCCATGTTTCTTTCCCAACGTGAAAAATGTCAAAGGTGAGACTATTCCTTCCATGAAGTGCTGGTTGATATCACTGTAAATCCTTTCATAAACTAGCTCTAGCCAGTTTATATGGTGATTTCTACATTTAATGAAGGCTCTACTTTTCCACTTAGCTATTAGAATATTTAAATTTCCACTCCTATGACATAGCACTTATGTAGTTTCTATGAAGAGAGCGGATGTCTAACGCGACAGTAACCAGTATCTTAATTGTCATTCACTTGGTCATGTTTACATACATACACTTGTGTCGACAAAAGATTATCTTTTGCAAACAATTGACAAAGTGACACTGCCACATGTTATAACAGTCAACTTACCGCTCACTTTGTGCTGCAGCTCGACAACTTCCCTGCAAAACTACAACAGCACAGGCTGCAAGGAATGAAGCTATTTAGGTTATCTGTTGAAATAACACCTCAAGTGCGGATACTTACTACGGGACCCGTATCTAGACCGCATAACTTCTACTTGGGTACTTGTTTACACAATGCAACCACTCGTATAGGGTTACATATCTTATCTGGAGTATAACCAACCAGCCAGCTAATGTAACAGGGTTGATGACCCTCACCAAGTCTTAACGGACAGAGTTTAGGTGCCCCCTCACGTCCAGCATAGGTTGCTTGGGGTCAAGTTTGAACCACAACCATGTGAAGACCACTAACATATTGTTAACATAAGCAACTGGGCAGTCAAAATGATCAGAAATATGCTGACGTTGTTTGCGACACTTTCCAGAGGTTTACAAATCAAAATATTTTACATCCATAGTAAGATTACAAGGTTGAAATTGTACCAATAAGAAGTGTCTCTCCTCATGACACAATACTCCAGATCACTGCTGTCAAGACTCTGCAAACACTTGCCCTACCCTGCCCAACTTCAAACTGAAAAAAGAGCTAGACCTGAAAATGCTTCCAAGGTCAAGCTCAATGGACAGATAGTACACTTCCTCATCATGTGACAACTGCGGCAGCAGTTTGACCCTTTAGAATGTACACTTAAACATACAAGCAGGTCACATGAATAATGTTCAAATATCAATTCTGAAATAATTTCTATACATGTACAGACACATCTTGTACAGTTTGAGTAAGTGTGAAATAACTGAAGGCAAGACCATCAGACTAGAACAGATCCCACATAAACATGCAGATACAAAGGCTAGGTTCCAGTAGTCACCTATTGCCAGCCAAATCAAGATGCTACTGGGTGTTTTCTGTTCACAACCTTTCCCATTTATTGTCTTTCCTGCTTTTACAAAAAAATTCTTTTTTTTTCTGCAGGTAGTAATGATATTAATACATTCAAGATAGACAAGATACTTTATGGATAACAGCTTCTTTGTTAAATAGTACAAAGCGATGCTTTGGCAGATTCCTGTACTTGATTCCTGTGTGACAATGGACTATACCAAAACGTTGCATCATAACATAATAAAGAAGACGTATTCAAAAGTATCTCGCCTGTCTTGTACAAACTTCCAAAGTGCTAATCAAACAAATATATTCAGTTCAGTTTCCATGGAACTATTTATGATGAGCACAGAGGACCTCCAATGAAGGCCAAGAAGACAACACAAGACACAGATTTGTACACACATTTCATATTTTATTACTGACACATTTTGAAATATTTATACTGTAGCTCTCTTTTTTAAAAAGCAAACCATTCAACAAATGATATAAGACAGATACACATAGTGGGATGACTCAGGGCTAGTGCTAAAATTTCTATGTTCAAAACTTGGCTAACGTACAGACACATGCACACCAGAGATGCCAATGTTTTTATACACAGTGAGCTCTTCATCGAGACGTGACCCTTTTAAGTATATGATTTAAGGAACTGGGCTGCACCATGAAACAGGAGGAAATTAGGAGCAAAGCATGTATATTATTAATAATTACATCATTTTTACAAAATTTATTAATGAATAGGTTATCAAACTCAACATTGATTAGGCCACTTTCAACGTGGCTACACACACAGTTCATGGTTCTCAGTCCAGATCCATTAAATGCGATTCTTGACGACAATGTAAGGCACCATCGCACAAAATCTACAATCTTCAGAATTCCTCATGCTGTAGTGACATTTCCATGAAACAAATAAAGTCAGAATCACCACATAAAAAATATGCATAAACTTGGAAAAAAAAGAAGCAAAAATGACTGTACATACGAAGTAGTTTATGAATGCTTGTGCCTACAAGAAAGTATTGCTACAACAGCGCTATTCAGATATGACTCACAGCAGTCCTCAGGATATTACATGACGTATTTTGGTACAAACTTTTCCACAGCTCAAGAGAAATAAATTGAAACAGGAACCAGACAGATCCTCATTATCCAGGGTTGACTGTTCCTCTCAGTTTGACCCCCAGTATGTTGTGTATGGCTTGGTGCCCCCTTTAGCCTGGGATGTAGCTTGCTGCGCTCTGGCTGACCCACCAGTGGAGTCCTAGCGAGCAGACATAATGCCAGCATTAGTTACTCATGCACTAGGCTGTCAAAAGTCACAACAGAAAGCAGAAGTAAGTTTCATGAATAACTTGCTATACCTCCACCTGATGTGATTTGTTACAAACCTATAAATCATCAAGTCACTTACTATTACATTTTCAAGTCTGATTAGTGAATTAACATACAAAAACAATTAATCTGTACGTTCTTACATTTGTCCAAGGTGATTAGCTAAAAAGATCTGAATAACCGCTTCGATGGGAATGGGAATATATTTCAATGTATCCAATTCAATGTACATTACAAAGGCTGCCAATGTAAGAAAAGTTTTTTCTTTAGTAGTTTCACAAGTCAGAAGGTAGCCTGCTTACCTGCTGCAGAGGATGGTGCAGCATCTGAGAGTGCGGCTGATGCGGCATCATGGGGACAAATGGAGCCGCTCCATATGGCGTTGTTGGGGCACCCATGGCTCCAGCCTGGGTTGCCATTGGCAAGTTAAACGGTGGCGGAGTACCAGCATGGAACGCTTGCTTATCAAAACCCTAAAATAGATAAAACTGATTTAGGTTCTTGTGACTGACTGACTGACTGAGTTTAGTTTTACGCCGCTTTTAGCAATATTCCAGCAATATCACGGCGGGGGACACCAGAAATGAGCTTAACACATTGTGCCCATGTGGGGAATGGAACCCGGGCCTTCGGCGTGACGAGCCAACGCTTTAACCACTAGGCTACCCCACCGCCCCTAGGTTCTTGTGAAGGAAAAATTATGACAACACCACCAAACAAGTGTCTGCCACTGATATGGCAATGTCCCCCGCCGCTGAAGAATGGAATATCTATAATTACTACTTTTTATTTTTGGGTCACATACAAGATGCCTGAAATGACTGGTGTCTGCCTAATCACCCAATGTTGGCTGTCAACATAATTGAAAACATTGGGTGCAATGTTTTATGAGATATCACGTTTAAATAAGTTTGAAAAGCAAAACAAGGTCAAGGTCACCCAAATCGACTGGTGTCTGCGTACTCCCCCAATGCAGGCTGTCACCAAATTTGCAGACATTGAGTACAACAGTTCATAAGGAAATCTCGTTAACAAGAATCGGGATGCACGTAAGGACAGACGCCGCTGATTACATAGTCCCCCATTCCGCGTTGCGGCGGGGGACAACAAAGTCAATTTAACACGCTCCTTAATGAAACATGTTATTGTTCAATGATATAAACATTTCGAGGGGTACGGAGATGACAATATTTCCTCAAACTATGACCACTAAGGGGAGGTAACCTTTACTATTTTGTAGCACATCCAAATTCCACAAACTAACCTGTGTGTGAGTTTTGTTGTAGGCAGAAGAAGCAAGGTCTGCCCCTGTTGCTGACCCTGTAGAGATACAAAAATCAAAGTAAGTTATCTATCAGGAAAAGTGCAATAGTTTAAAAAACAACAACAGTTTTTGTAAGAAAAATACTGTTATAAACAAAAAAAAGTTGTATTCCATACATGCATAATACTATGTCCTCAGGATTTAACTTTGTACAAGGATCATGTGATTGCACAAGATTTCATTTCATTCAATTCTTTCATTCTTGCACAGCCTTAACTTCATCAACTTGATTTTAAACCTTGACCATGCATTGAATTTTTTTTTTATCCAAAGCAAAAGAAATGCCCACTTGTGCCTGCTGCTCCCTTTGCCTGCGTCTGTGTAGCTCCATAGCCTGTCTTTGTGAAGTCCTGTGCTTGAGTCAGATCATCATAACCTGAAAGTATTCAAACAAAGCTGTTATTCATCAATTACATTTGCTAGAATTCTACAAGCACAAGAATTCTGAATACTAACACGATGCCCTGATACACATGGCATGTCTGCACAGCTGCCATTACTTCCATGAAACTAAAATTTAGTAACAATTGTACAAATTTCCCTGAAATCAAATTGGTTTGCAAAACAGGTCGGATACTTAACCTACTCTCAAAATCGCAACAAATAAGACCAGCTATATTCCGAAGGGTTGGTATATTTTCCAAAACTGCCGAGTCAGTGCAGAAATGTAACTAACTTGCAGAAAACACTTTTGAACTCATGCAGAATTATGCATTTTTCAGCTGCAGAAATTCATATGGTGCAGGCAAGTTTAAACAGTTAAGAGTTGCACAGATTTTACTTTAACGGGCAATCGTCATTTGAATTGGGCATTATATTCATCAAATCATTCCAAATATATATCTGAGGTGTTTGTATTACGAGGAAAGGAATTAAAACAAATTGCTGACAATTTGTTTAACATTTTAATTTTTGAGAAATGCTAAATGAAATCAATATCCTGATATCATTTTGAAGTTGCCTTTTGTATTATTGCTTACTAATATCTCTATGATTACAGAAGTAATTGTCAGATTCACTTCATAAGCTATTCCAACTGTGGACAGTCAGAAAAAAGCCAGCCATAAGTTAAACTGACGCAAATTTAGGATATTCATGAATATTAAGCTTTAAAGTTTGCAGAACTCTGTGCAGAATTATCAAAACTTGGTAGAAGAAATTGCAAAAATTGCTTGCAGAATTCTCAACTCTTCACGAGAAGGGCCTTAGAAAAGGATCATAAAGGGGATTTGGATGTAATCTACCCTAACACAATTAACTGGACGGATTGAAGATACACTTAAGATCAGTGAAGTGAAGAGCCAAAAGCTGGTAACTGGACCCAACTAGTGCTAAAAACTGAAGTCTTTCCTAACCTTCTGACTGATTGTATGTGAGCACTAGATGATCTTACTTTTACTAAAGTACTGTCGGAAATAGAAAAAACCCTGTATTTTCTCATTTATCTCTACAATTTATGTAGTTGATATGTGCAAGTGTGAAATATCTGTTAAACTAAGTTCGGCCTAACTACAGTCTCATTGGTAGGGGCATAGGAAACGTAGAAAAAGGACTTTACTGAGGAGAGATTAGTGCAGAAATGAGCAATGCGTCTTTTTTCTAAGTCCAAAACGATTTATTTGGAACAGACCATGGCTTTATGCAAATTAGTGTGCGACGATATTGTATTACAAAGGACACTTTTTAAATGCCCAATTTGAAATTAGACGCAGCTTCATTATAAACGATAGCTGGCATAAAAAGTAATAACTTTCATGCTGAAACTATTAAGGATGAAGCTACCATGGAGTCTCACTGTCACCATAAAAAGAAACAGATAGGAGGGTTCGTCTCAAAAGCAAAACCTGGAGGGGTGCCGCAGACGATCGTTGGGGTCGGGCTGGGTGATAGAGATATCAGCGAAGATAAGATAATCCTTTAGGGCAATTATACTGGGAAGTACACGGCATGTCATAACAATTTACAAATAATATCCAGTCCTGTCGATCTTCGCGATTGGGTGGTCATGCCGCCTATATATTTTGAGACATGTAACACGATGCGTTTCTATGGTTATCAGGTATCATACTCTTTTACATATCTCAACATAAACTTTATGAAAGAAAGACACGTAAGATGTAAATCAGTAGATGAGATATAGTCAGCACACATGAAAAAGCACAAAATATCTTTGAGATGCCCCCTTGTACCTGTAGGCAGCACATGCATTTCATGCCAGGTGAGTCGTCGGTCCGTCGTCATACCTGGCTGAGCGACATAATTGCCATCTATAGTCTGATCTATTGTTTTCAGCAGCTATTCGTATTTTTTCTAAGTTTTGCCCGATTTTACGAGTAAACATGCTTTTCTGGATATCCTATTACGCATCCCACTGAATGCCAAGTTAGGCCAAAGTGGGTTATTTCGACATATGCAATTTGCAGTTGTGTAAATTTTAGGATACAGAGTAACAGCCTAAAAACAGTTTTTTTCTATTTCCGACAGTACTTTAAGTCTTTTAACTTGTAGCTAAAGTCACTGACTGTAAATTAAAACACTTACCTTTAGCTGTGTTATAACCAAACGACTTTTGGAATTGGTTGGTTGCCGTGGTTCCAGCATGAGCGGTGTTGGTCACAGGAGGCATCTGGAATACAACATTCATTTTGACAACATGAACATTTGCTACTCACTTATCTATATACTGATGTCAACAGACTAGAGCGTGCAAGTTAAAACATCAAGTCACACTTGCAATACTCTGACAGGAACAAATTATACAATTAACATCATTGTGAAGCATTATAATACCTAGTGGTGTACCTCACAGATGGCCATGAAAGTAGTTCAAATTAAAACATCTGCCCCAACATGGCTTACACTATACATCTAGCTTCTGCCCATTGTCAGAAACTTTACCCTAAGAGTAAGATATGCCATTAAAACCATAAAAACATTAAAAGCTATGTTGAATGGCATGATCTTATACTGTCATAGGGAATAGGTAAGAACAGAGCTTGACAAAATTTTGAGGATATGCAAAAAAATGTCCCACAGATTCAAGTGCTTGACATGTTAACATATGCATTCATGAAACAGTCTGCAATTGAGTATTGAAGAGCATGTAGGAATACATCACATAATAGACTAGAACAGAGCAAAGGGGAATAACTATGAAAACTTTGACCACTAATCAACCCAAGTCTAATCAAAGCTGAGAGTTGGTCAATCCCTAAAATCCAATTTCTATTTACTCTCAGTACCCACTGTGACCATCTCAAGCTATTATTTTTTTACAACAAGCATGGGATGCTCATGAAGTTTTCTGCCTTGAATTTACTCACTGGAAACACAGTAGGGTACTGGAATCCTGTTCCAGGGAGCATCGAAGGGTAGTAGTATCCGTACTGCAAGTTGATGAATGGATGGTGAGCAGACTGGGTGGATTGCTGCTGAGACGTGGGGTTTGGGGATTGAGCATCTACCCGGTTCAACTTGCTGCTGTCTGTTGTTCCTGCTACTTTCAAAATAAAAATAACAATTTATTAAATATCATTGTTGCTTACTAGTTGCATATATGCAAATTTATCCTCCAAAAGAAGATTTAAAGAGGAGAATATTAATTGGGTGAGACCAACTGATATGTCAAAGGATATACAACACAGAAATTGCCCACGCAATTGCAAAAAATGAAATAAAAATAATGGTGGGGAGGTAATGAGAAACAAGAAATTATTATTATGTGGCCTAACAAAGTGGAAGAATCATTTTATTTTGGACGATAAACAGAATCATACCATATCCTACTGTACCTGGTCATGCAAATGATTTCTGAAATCATTCTTTTTCCATTTATATTTCTTTGAACACCTTCCTTTTTAACAAGCAGACGACATTCAACCAATTAATATCAATTGTCTTCAGATCTTCACTAATACATTTGTTTGAATACTATAACTTTTTCAATGCATAAAATTTCTAAATTGCAACCTGACATGTAGCAAATCTTACTCTCGCAACTTTTGATAATCCAAACATATCCATACTTATCCATGACTTTCCCGAACTTTATTTGCTATTTTATCAAAAGACACAAAGGTGAGATTCTCTGAAGGTCAGAATGCTGGAAGTTGTATGCATCATAATGGTTTCATCTCCCTGGGTCTTGTGGTTTGAGAAGATTCTCAAACATATTTTGGACTGAATTCAATTACGTGGCCATCAATTAATATGTTCGATCATATTCTGTCATTTCCGGTAGGTAATTGGGTGTTAACACGAGACAAGAGACAATGCATCATGTCACAACCTCACATGGGCACTCTGATATGACCTTTCTGTATGACATCCACTGCTACTAACCTGAGTATGGTACACTCCCAAGTGTTGCACGTTCCTGTCCTCCTATTGTTGAAGGCACAGGGAACCCACTCATGTCATAGTAGCTGTTCGCAGCCTGAAAGATCATTAATAGCTGTTACTCACTGATATCGTGTGTGTGTGTGTGTGTGCGTGCATGCGTGTGTGTATTGATCAATTTGAAATAAAATCCGCGGAAAATTCCCAACTTTGCATATGCAACAGTAGGTCCTACGTTAGTCTGAAGATAACTTTTCACTTCTAAACCTTATTTCAACTCATTGACAAACATAAATGATGAGTGAATATCATATAATTATACGGCATCTTGATTTTATCATTTGAATACAGCAGTTTTTTCAAATTATTTTACATTTGAAGCTTTAATATGTTTCATAGGAGCAGCAAATGAAAAAAGCTCCCCTTTCATTTTTCCCAGTAGACAAATGCAAAATTACCAAAACAAGATATGATCTACTCTTTCATGTTTTGTATAATGTAAACTTTCTTCTCCTCAGTTCTTTTGAATATAGCTTAAAATAAATCATACAAATGAAATTAAATTTTTTTAAAAATGTGAAAATGTTAAGGTCCTATTGAAGGTTGTCATGTAAGACTGCTTGGTCATAACCTATGGTAAAAAAATAAACATCCCTTCAAAGACCATACGATCCATCTTAATTTCAAGCAATGGACATTTGTTAGGGATAATTAGTATGCATTGTGTGACTGTGACTGACCAGTGGAAGTCGCTGCTGCAGGAGCTGGACATCCTCGTACCCTGGGTACAGTGGCTGCTGCATACTCTGCTGTAAACACACATAAACAACCTTATCAAATACTTCTAATACTCCCTGGCTGTATATATATCAGAAACCTGGTGGCAAAAAGCTACCAGCAGAATATTACTATGGTTACAAGGAAAATTCTGAATATGTTGACAATTGTTCATGTTCACTTAACCACGTTACAGCTGTGTTGCCAACACCAGAAATGATCAAAATGGATTGATAGAAACTGAATTTCTACCTGAATCTCAACATGCTCAATCAAGCACTGCCATGAATGTGCACCACTCATTTTTAAGCTACCCATCCATTTCAATTCAGGAAAACAATTTACCAGTACTGGTACTAATACACAAAGTCAAAGATACTAACCATGTCAACAGAAAAAAACTCATCATCAAAGATGCTCATTCCCTATGCCATAATTACCAAAATATCATTTTCAAATATCTGAGTACCAAACTGATTACTGGCAAAAAGATGCAGTTTAAGGCTAGCATTATAGGTTACTCACACACAGTATAAACAAGATCAGGTTTTATACTTACACTTGGGTTGCTGACATAGAAGGGAGGAATAGCACTCTGTCCAACTATGTACTGATGACCTAGGAGTGGAACACCAGGTGGAAGATTGGGAGGGGCTTTCGCTGCAAGACAATGATAGCAGGTAAGGTAAGGTCTCGCTGTAGTTGATCAGGCAAGTTTGATACAGGAGGTTTTTCAATGATGAATGACTTCAGCATTACAATTGACTAATTTGACTGGCTATGTTTATCCTATCTTGGACTATCCAAACCCTCAATATGGTCATAACGAGTGAGTTTAGTTTCACGCCGCACTCAGCAATCTCCCAGCTATATGGCGGCGGTCTGTAAATAATCGAAACTGGACCAGACAATCCACTGATCAACTGCATGTGCATCGATCTGTGCAATTGGGAACCGATGACATGTGTCAACCAAGTCAGCGAGCCTGACCAGCCAATCCCGTTAGTCGCCTCTTACGACAAGCATGGGTTACTGAAGGTTCATTCTAACCCGGACATTCACGGGTATATGGTCACAATGTCGTTCCTTGATAATGAACACAAATCTAGCCGAAAGCATATTATGTTATTCTGAAATTGCTCTGTAATTCTACTGACACCATATATGGTATCATAAAATGTTTCAGCATTGTTTAAGGTATGTTGAAAATGAAAAAGTTAAAAACTTTGTCAAGCGAGCTAAAATGTCCAAAACAGTCACAGAAGTAATTGATAACTTGTTTGACAATTAAGGAAATACATATTGTTCATCAACAGCTCATTGACAAGAATTTGTTCCCAAATTCTGACTGAAGAGCAAAATTCATGGCAATACTGATACATGCACAAAATTTAGTAAAGATTTGATGACTTTGATATATGTTACAGAAGAAAATACTGCTCTTGTGTGACAAAACTCAAGCTTGGCTAAATTCTATTTATGGAGGATTTATAAGAAACGAATGAAACAAAGGTCACTATTAGGTCATATGTTAAATCAACATGGTGGCCGGTATCTCTTTTCAAACCCTCTTGGTTCAGCATTTAACTCGGAACCAAACATGTATTCACTACTTGGGTTTATCCAATTTTTTCCCCCTACATACAGACTGTTTACTAAAGAAAACTTACTACTTGACGGCAACGATGTGCGTGTTGAGCCTGACACAACTGAGGAGATAGTTGTTGCAGCTATCGTTGACGTAACGTTTGCAAGTGAGGTGGCGGAAGTCGTTGTCGGATGGCTGGCAGCAGTTGTTGATGTTGTTGTGTGATCAAACTGAAGGAGCAAATTTTTCGTCAAGTCACGTTTCAAGCATGTACCTACCTTTGGGTAGAAGACAAGGATAAATGCCACTCATGTCCCACTTTTCCAACAAACTGTTGCAAACTCACTTTCTGCAGTTTACACAAACATGACAACATACCCACTAACCGTGTAAATACCTGTTGGTCAAACTTCATAACCAAAGGAATGAAGAAAGCTGTGGTTCAAAAACAAGAGAGAAAAATTGGAAAAAGGCCACCATGTACTGTACATCATGGTGTGTCAGCTTCATGTCAGGGTGAAACCCACAAGGATGGGTATGGTGCTGACCAAGCAGGAAACACAGTCAGGACCAACAAGGATTTGTACCCATAATCTGTTGTTCTGTACTCCTAAGGGACTTGACTGCACAAAGTGAATTGCTGTGCCTTAGGCTACACATCCCTCTTCTAAAATACACTTAGAGAGATATCCTTCACATTAGACAAATCAAGGAAAGACATTTTCAGTGAAAGATCATAATGTCCCTTCCCCATGTCAGTATCAATCATGGTGCTAACTATCACATAGTATGCTCAAATTGGGCTCCATTATTTATAGAAATTAAAGCCAATGTCATAACCATAAAGCACTGATTCATTTCCTCCAGAAATGCATTACTCTCTGGGCACATAAAAAGCTGTAATGTCAAGTTTATGTTTTTGTCTGAAATAGTGTTTTCCAACCCACATGAAAGAACCATATGAATTATTGATTCTGGATCAGGCAAACCATTGGTTAAAAGCATATGCAAAAATACACACTGTTATGGTGTGATGACACTACTATCAGCCAGGTCAAATTCTAAAATCATCATTTGTTTCCCTTAACAATGGGATACTGGAGACCTATTCTGCCCAGAATACCTTCTGGTAAACTGAAAGGTAATTGTTATATAAACAGGCAAGATCTCTCTGTCAGCAGACTAGTGGGAATTCTTCTGAAGCAGCATTTCTTTAACAAGTTGTTTGACGTTTTATACATACACATGCATATCCAACTGGCTCACTTCAAATGACTGTGTAGACAGGTATCCAGAATGCAAGGTGAACTCCAGGAATTCCATTATCTTATGGGTACACATGTAACACCATTCACCATACGTGTCGCACATTGAATATATAGGGCACTGGGACACATGAATGATGCTCCTTTCTCACCAACACATTATGAGGGACACAATGACTCACAAGACATTCACCGAGCAGGTCACGCACAACACTGTTACATCCTTAAACTTACCTGGGCGCTCTGGTGAGTGTCAGCCATTGAGTCTTTAATTGACATATTAGACAGAGTGTCCCCAAGTTTGTTTGCAGTGAGCGGCGAGGTTTGCAGATTGGACTGGTGTCCAGATGAGGTGTAGGACTTTGAGTTGTAGCCAGACACTGATGCCGACTGAGTCTGTGAAGGAGGGGAAGATAGGCTTGAGGCCTGGTTCTGATACGCATTGGATGAGTTTGTGCTCGACTGCCGTGCAGAGGACGGTTGCGAGTCTCTCAACTGGTACGATGAACCAGTCTGCTGCCCTTGATATGAATTTGTTTGTGCTGACGAAGGATAAAGAGAGTTCTGGGTAGCTTGGCTTGACGAGTAGTTCGTTTGACTCTGGAATGATGCCGCACCCGCCTGGTAGCTTGGATACTGGTTTGACCCAGATTGGTACTGGTTGGATCCAGATGAATACTGGTTCTGTCCAGTCTGATACTGATTCTGACTAGGCTGGTACTGTGATGGAAAGGAGCTACCTTGTGTACTTGTCGTATATGCCTGTGTATTGGACAGTCCAGAAGACTTATGTCCCTGATAGCTTGACGACTGGTATGTTCCTGATGACTGCACAAAAGAACCCAAACTTGATGAATCCGATTTCACAGTGGAAAGTGAACCTAGAAAAAACAAAATAACCAGTTATCAGTGTATTTTTTGGCCATCAATGCAGTACTCAGACTGACATAGATAGTAAAATGAGCAGCATGATTTAAAGATAAAACTGTTTTTTAGATAAACTGTCTAACTGAAAGAAAGTCATAAATAAAGTTATCTAGAATACATCGACTAGTTATGCTGTCAGCATATTTTCAAATTTCAGTTAAAAGTCTGAGCTTAATTATAGAGAAATCGTAAATTGTAAATGTAAATTGTAATTACCCTGAGCCAGTGAAGCTGCTGTCTGCCCCTGTCTCTGTCCTCCCATCAAGGGACTGGATTTCATATCAGACTGGGAAGGAGGGAATGGTATAGGCTCTGGGGGCGTCATCTGACAAAAGATCATTTCAAAAAATTAGATAATAAGGCTAACACATGAACATACTGCTGTGTACACTGAATTATTTAATTAAATACATCTATATGACAATATTCTGATACCCTGCATTGGAGCCAACCTAGTAATATTGTATTTCACAGAGGCCCAGATAAGCTGCGTCTCCGGGTAAATTACGCATAGAAAATTTCCAATTCGCAGTAAGTGCATAGAAAATTTCCACCACGCATTGAAAAATATTTTTGAGTTTAGTTTTCGCCGCACTCAGCCATATTCAAGCTATATGGCGGTCTGTAAAATTTAAAATCCAGTTAGATCAATCGCAGTGGGAAAAACATTTAAAACAAATAAGCCTCTTCACGCGCACAGTAAGCCTTTTGTGGCAATATGGGTTTATAAAATCTACCCCGGCTTCACGGGTCGCGTAATGAAAAAGACATCGATTGCTATCAAGTTGTACTGTTAGTATAGGACTAGTGTTGTACTGTCAGTATAGGATGAGGGATTTTTTATGAAATCATTTCCATTATATTTAAGTTGGTTTTGATTAGGTATGACATAAGGCAGAACATACCTGCTGAGTAAAATGACTGAAATACGCACATATTTGAAAGCTTTGGGTAACGGGAAATGAAATACCCACTCGACATTCATAATACCCACTCCAAAAAAATACAGTGGGTACAGTACCAACATGAGCTAAATCTTATCTGGAGCTCTGTTTCATAAGTTTCAGAAATGTCTCACTCTTGAGATTATTTTCCAATCATGATAGATCGCCATACCTTTGTAGGCTGACTGAGTGGTGAAGGAGCATCTTTCTTTGGTGGTGTTGTATTGTAAGCTGTGTTTTGGAACACACTCGTTCTGGGCGAGGAGTGATCAAGACCACTCATTGCAGGTGGCTGTTTGCCAGGGGACGACATCATTGTCGCAGACATCACAGATTCAGAGGATTTGCTCGATTGAGATAAATGGTTATTCATCGAAACAGCACTGGAATATAAACAAGGAATTTTTGTTTGAACCATAAACATGATAAAGACATATGGGTATAACAAAATATAAAGAAGACAACAATTTTCATAAGACAATTGTGACTTGTATTGTTGATAGGTTATTTTCAAATATGAAGATATGTGATATTTATATTTACACATAGCAGATGGTGTTCTGTTGAGGGTATAAACCAACCTTTTTGGACATTGAATTTTGGACTTGATTAGCACCCGTGAAGCACAAATGACCCATGAGTCTTTAAAGGTGACTTAAATATCAGCTCTCTAGCTTAATAAGGTTACATGAAACAGAAACTCAAGTAGTCAAATGCAGGTTTCACCTATTCTGGGTAGTTGTTGTGTAACTGCTTGCAGTAACAGCAGAGTCTGAGGACCCAAAACTGAATGGAGATGAGGAATCAGCTCCAAAGTCTACTCCAAACTGAACATCCAGTTGTGGCATCACATGGCCTGGCATTTCTACTGCTGATGCTGGAATCTGAAACAAATCAAGCTCCAAATTTTAACGCTCTAACCTTTTGTCTCAGAGTGGTAGAGTAGGGTGTCATTTCTTAAAATTGAGGGTTGTAATATTTTTTAAACTTACAATATCATCTTATACATAGTGATCAATTCTATCCCCCAATATATATATATAAGCATGATAACACAGCCTAAGTTTCGATTCCTTTTATCAGCGCAAGCACATTATCATGAATGTAAATCCAGAAATTGCATGTCAAAGAATCTATACTGATTATATATCAATTTGTGCCATTGGCCATGGCAGAGACATTGCACCAATATGGTGTTCTGGATATTGTTTAAAAGGTGTTTACATATGAAAAATACATGGTTGTGCAATTGTAGTATGGAAAAAAACAAATTGAAAACAAACTAAAACATGTTCTCTCTCTTGCCTGTTTTGTAACATACTCCTGGCTGGTTGTGCAAGGACATGGGGAGTACCAAAAGAATTCCTTTGAACTTGTTACAGTAACATCTTGTAAGTAGAGATATGTTAATGTATGTGCTGTGTCACACTGACCATTGCTATTTTGTTTATTATGCTATGATGCTTTGAGGGTCTTGCATATGGTACAGTGAGTACTCATTGGACTTGTAAATATCTGTCCATAACATCTCCCGTACGTACTCCAGTAGAGCATTTTCTTGCAGGCCATAATCATTCCTCAGTTACGACTATTGTAATTAAACTAAGAACTTCTGAGAATACCTGAGTATACCTCATTGCTATTGCTAGCTTACTTTATGGAAATTGCTGCCATTGGTTATTTGGTACTCAAGACGGTGTGTATTAAAGCAGCGTTTAAAATTCCCGTCTGCCTGACAGTCCGGAACGGTCTTTTTCATCTCGGACGGTCAAATTTCAAAAGTAGCCAGTCCGGTGGTCTGGTAGATATTTTTACCCCTAAGAGTAAATATTTCATAATATCAGACAAGTTCTCTTGTCGTCAGTTTGAGGTGTTTAAGGTATTATGATAATTATGTTAAACTACTTACGATTGGGCAGTTCATGTTACGATAACTAATCCCAATCATGTACTTTCAGTTTACCTAAACTCGGTGCATTGCCTGTTAGTGCTATGTAGTTCATTACGATGCCTACAAACAGTGAATGGAGCTTGCACGAGTTGGAAATGACAGTGTTTTAATTGTTGAAAACCGGACAGGCAAGTTTGTATCCGAACTGGTAATTTTTTATAGTTTTATAGCCGCTAAAAAATGGAATATATCTATATTTACTACTTTTTATTTTGGGGTCACATACAAGATGCCTGAAATGACTGGTGTCTGCATAATCACCCAATGTAGGCTGTCAAAATACTTGAAAACATTGGGTGCAATGTTTTATGAGATATCGCCTATAAAAAAGCGGTCAAGGTCACCCAAATAAACTGGTGTCTGTGTAATACTCTTGCGTTAACACGATATCTCATGGACTGTTGTACCCAATGTCTTCAAATTTGGTGACAGTTTACATTGGGTACAACAGTCCATGAGATCTTGCGTCAAAGGTCACATGCAAAGTTGTGTTTTACGTTGCATGTGACCTTTTACGCAACGTAAAACACAGCTTTGCAGATTCTGATACCTTTCGGTATGGACTTACCAAAACAAATCATCAAAAATGCAAATACAACCTATTCAAGTTCAAACGATTCACTAATTTTCCCCCAGCGCTTGGGGGAAAAGTGATTTCAACAGCTGGGCTGCGCTGCGCTGGGCTGCGCTCATAGCACATGCGCAGTGAAATTGGTTCGCTCAGCTTGAAAGCGGGTTGTCCGGTGAATACTCGGTGAAGGCTTTGGTGTGAGCTATTTTTCTAATGTTTTGTTGATATTTGACAGGCGCGAGCTTTTTATATGTTATGACAGTAGATTACCGATTTAACTGTTTATATAATTTCATTTGTCTATTTCACCACACGTTCTTATCGAGTCACTTCTCAGTTCGATACTTAAAAGCAATGTCATTATTTAGCGTTGACAGAATTTCTAACTATGATAGAGATATGTCGTTGTCACAGACAAAACTCAATGTCTGTTTTATTGACACCCATGTGTCTGCCTGCCTGTCTACTAATGACAATATTCAATACACAACTTCGATCACTGACCACATGCAATTTGAACTTAACACCAATCAGGCTATACACCATAAACAAAACGCATTGATTTATGGCCCGAGTTCGGTCTCTGTCACATTATGTAATTACACAGACAGGCAGGTGTGATACTTGTACACGACATGTTATGATGTCTGTTGATTGCAAATTGTAAACCAAAAGTCACTGTGTTCTTTATCTGATTGGTTGAAAAACGTGATCAATTGGTATTCGATTCTCGGAAATTTGCTGCGTATTAATACATACAAACATCGCTCACACCATTGTATTGTTACGTCGTCAGTTGTGATGACGTCATTAAAATCATATTGTGACGTAAAGTCTGAATGACGTCACAAATGAGCAGTTCCAAATGCCACCATGGAAGACAGACGAAACGGCTGGCTGATGACATTTCACTGCTGTACCAGTACTCGATGTCAATGAGTGCAGACAGAAAAACGTGTGTGGTCTTTTTGGTTTACTTTTGTGTTTACAATGTCGATAAACATCATGTGTTGGCCAATATCCGGGTGTTATTGAGTATTTGAAGCACAGGAATATTCCATTTGAAACCTCCGGCTGACGCCGTCGGTTCCAAATGAATTCCCGTGCTTCAAATACTCAATAACACCCGGAAATTGGCCAACACATGATGTTTATCTCCTAAATGTTATACACAAAAATGAGCATGTACTTACAAAACCCAACATCTCTCTCTATATATATATACACACACAACGAGCCGTGCGGGCTGCATCTGCTAATGAACCAGCCGTTACACTTGAGTGCACACCCACCCGCTCTGACTGGGTTCGGTATCCCGGCTGCTTCGTTCTTGGGAAGTAAACCCAAGTACAAAATATTGCACTTTTCATTTGCGATTGTATGCTTATAATTTTGTTTATATGTTTTTTCATGATCAGCAATGTATATTATATGTCATGAATAAGTGATAATTGTGTTTTAATTATGTTTTATTTTTTGGTTGCATGTAACCTTTAACGCAAGAGTTAAAAGTGGTCAAAGTGTCATGGTGACCTTGAAGATAAGGTCAAGGTCACCCAAATAAACTGGTGTCTGCGTAATCCCCTAATGTAGGCTGTCACCAAATTTGAAGACATTGGGTACAACAGTTCATGAGATATCGCGTTAACAAGAATCGGGACGTACAGACACCACTGAATACATAGTCCCCCGTTCCGCATTGCGGCGGGGAACAAGAAGAAAGTAAACTATACACTCCTGTCAGCTGGACTGGGCACACTCATAAGGTATACCTTATCAAATTTGACTAAACTGTAAGATGTCCTTGAGGCAAATAGAGCTGATTATATTTTTGCAATTGAAGACAAGTATGTCGACACCTCAGTACTAGATGATCATGTTTCACAGAATCAAGAAACATTACAACTGTAAATATTATTCTCGATTCATACACAAGGACATAACAGATAAGACATGAGAAAATATCTGTTCCCGAAATATGCCAATTACATGTAAATGGAAACAATACCTTTGATGGGGGAGGCAGCTTGCTTCTCTGCGGTTTAGGCCGCTGCTGCAGTGCCTGCTGTACATGAGGAGGCTGCGATGACATTTGTTGTGCTGCCAGAGACTGTGCAGATATACTGCTTCCCTGCTGCAAGTTTTGAGAATATGAGCTCAACCCACTAGGTGCAGCCTGTGGTTGGAGATTCGAAAGGTTCGACCTTGAAGAGGACCCAATCTGCAAATTACAAGAACATTTCTCGTGAATACAAACAAAATACGAAAAGTATTTGAGACCAGTAGAATTAATATGTGGATTCTCTAAAGCTCTGGACCCTGTTGTATCAAACTTGAATGAAGCATTAACGTGTCATTAAACAAACATTGCTGCCAGCATATTGTTTGAACGCGTAGGTCGCAAAAGAAAAGACAGTGTTTTCAGACAATGAACTCAGAATCACACAGTGGTTAACAGAAGATATATACACACCCCAATAGTGTTCTTGATAGACTCTGTGGCCTGCTGGTTATATTGGGCTATCAAGTTATCATTTGCTTGCTGTTGTTGCTGTTCTGCAGTCTTTAACAAGGTCCCAAGGTCCAATCTGTGAAAAAATCAGTTATTAATTATTAGTGTTGTGAATCAAATGGTACCCTTCATGAATTCAATTCATTATGTCTGATCACTGGTATCAAATATTCATGTTTTACTTTTTGAAAATTGAGTGTTTTACTTGAATTTGGGTGCTATTCATCAAAACAAAACATGCACAAAGGACTATTGCCAGTGACAGCACCCACATATTTCAGTTGCCATTGTTGTAATAAACTAACAGTCCACATGACCAAACCATGTCAACTAGTTTGCCATTATATCACACTATATATTTGATAAGAAATCACCAGTTGCCTTATTGTTGTATTCATTATCAAATATTCGTAATCGTTACCCAATATTCGAGACATGTATCATATTAGCCTCAAAATGGATTCGTTGCAGATATATTAAATGTGATTTTTCAGCATTTTACAACTTTAATTTTCTTAACTGTAATAACATATCATTATCATGTATGAACTTGCATTCCCATAAACATTTGTAAGCTCATTTCAGTTTATGTTTCCCGTTTATAAAGTGTAGTGAGATTATGAATCAATACTGCCAGATATACCCCATTATATGAAGTAACACTGCCAGATATACCCCATCCTGAAAACCTGCATGGTTGAACATTTTTATTTACAGACATAAACACAAACAAGCTCTACAAATCTTTAAATCACTGCTGTAATTGCATTACAATTTTGAATATATGCGAGAATTGAAATGAAAATAGTTTCTTATTTGGTTCTACATGTACATTTTTTATGAAAATATATTGAATTATGAGGGCAATTTGAAAACAAATACCCTTACCTCTGTCCCAGTGTACTAGGCTGTCCAAGTGAGTTTGAAGTCACAATTGATCCAGGCTGTCGAAGTGGGCCTGGCTGTCCCATTGAGCTTGGCATTGGACCAGATTGTCCAAGAGAATTCGACTGACCCATAGAGCTGGTGATATCATTCAGTGGAGAAGGTGCCATCGGTTCCTCCTTCACTGTTGATGCTGTGAACACCTTTGACTCTGTCAGCTGTGAGAAAGACAGCACATCAATTTTTAACTTGGTACCGAGTGCACAAGATGATATAATTCAGAACAAAGGCTTGTCAATCAAATAATTTGCTGTCTTCAAGAAGAGAGGAAACTAATGGTAATAGTAAACATAGTAATTGTATAAAAACAAAATCTGGTGACATCTGATTTTCCCACTTACCGATCCCTGCCAAGTATCATCATTCCAATCTTCAGATGCAGGGGCTGACTCCCAAGTTTCTCCCCATCCTAAACAAACCAAGGGTTAAATAAATGTAATGAATATTTAATCAAATATCAATGCAATCAACAATACAAATTAGCATTATACTTTTACAGGTAGAGGAGAGAAAACAAATGCCAGGTTCTAAAATGACTTACACAGAAGGTCTGTTATATTACCAATACTCTAAGAATTGAAATACCAATACCTATGTGTTCCAATAGGTGTAGAAAATACCAATGAAAAATGTGTTTGTACTTTATTCAGATTCATAAATTACATAGAAAGTAAACATCCCAATACATGCTGACACCTACCATAATACATGAAGTATTACTGTAATAAATTTCAATAGAAATATCAGGCCAAATAACCATCACAAACGTTCAAAACATAAATGTCAGCCTTGAAAATGTTTTTAAACTAATGTAACTGGATCAAGTTCGAGTCAGATAGAAAGAGAAACATTTTGAAAGATTTTCTCCACTACTGAAGGGCGTTCTGCTCTATTGATTACCATATTGGGAAAAATTCAGATTTGCACAGAGTAGCTGGCTACTTGAGAGCTTGTCAATTCAGTAAAAAAACACATTCAATGAAAATGATAACACTTCGCTTTCCCAGCAACACTTTTGCTGATTCAACTGATCCAGCAAACTGTTGGCAATTGACACATCTCAGTCACCAATTATATTGTTAGCTTACACAGTGAATAGTTCTGAAGTGCTAGGTAAAAGAACACATTTGGAACCACCTTCAGATGTTTGCCCACAGCTATTGTAACAGTACTCTTAACTTCACTAGGGACGTTACTATTCACTCACGCATTCGGTGAAATGAACCATATCCCTTCGTGACTTCAATGTGTCTGTCACAATCACTAGAATAGAATATTCATGGTTGTTTTTCAAAAGGAGTGTTTGTACTTGAATTTGAGTTTTTGATTTAAATGAGATATGCTAAATGGAATATATATGTAGTCTGTCAGGATAACAGTCAACACTATATAATTCTTTTGACAGTAATGCAGTCGCTGTCGCGATAAATTAATGCTGTCAACATAGTTCAAACATGTCAAACTAATTTGGTATTATTTCACTGAATATACTAAATAATACATCCACTGTTGACTTTTTGTTGAATTTGTTAACCAATATTCATATTTGTCACCCTGTATTGTATCATATTCACTTCATAGTGGATTCATTGAGTCCTTGTCTCTCTCTTGAGAGAACTGCAGATTGAGACCAAAAATCATGGCAGAAGACTGGCAACTTCAGGTGCCAGAGTATTTCCAAATTGAATAATGTCTACATAAGAGTTTTGCAGTGACACAATTACTGCTTCATTGAAACTGCTGGAGTAGTCTGGCACCTGTTCAGAAACTATATGATAGAAAACTGTGTCACACTGGCAACCTCTATCTGCTTACTGTCATCAAATATCACATTTAAGTTCAATATGAACATCCATTTTTGCATCCCAACTTTTCTAGCTATAAACAATTCTAAACAAACCTGCTGGTTCCTTGTCAGCATTCTCCGCAGTTTCGTTAGTCCATGTATCAATCTGGGGCCCTTTATCAAATCTCTGGGGACGACCTTCTGACTTAAATCCTCCACCACCACCTCCTCCCCTGCAATGTTAATTCTAATCACTTAGATACCAAAAAATAACAGCATATATGAACACGCGAAGTTGAACCGTCTTCCTCATCATTACTCCTTGACTAATAGTATGAGGCATATCATATCTATGAATGATAAACAGAACAAATTAGTCATTTGAAAAACCTTATAAACTATCTTATATACAACTAGATCTGCTGATCTTAAAGGTCACATGCAACCAAAAAATAAAACATAATTAAAACACAATTATCACTTCTTCATGACATATAATATGCATTGCTGATTATGAAAAAACAAATAAACAAAATTATAAGCGTATAATCGCAAATCAAAAGTGCAATATTTTGTACTTGGGTTTACCTCCCTCGAAACGAAGCAGCCGGGATACCGAACCCAGTCAGAGCGGGTGGGTGTGCACTCAAGTGTAACGGCTGGTTCATTAGCAGATGCCGCCTTCACGGGTCATTGTGTGTGTATATATAGAAAGTTGGGTTTTGCAAATACATGCTCATTTTTTGTGTATAACATTTTGCAATCAACAGACATCATAACATGTCATGTGTTCAAGTATCACACCTGCCTGTCTGTGTAATTACATAATGTGACAGAGACCGAACTCGGGCCATAAATCAATGCGTTTTGTTTATGGTGTATAGCCTGATTGGTGTTAAGTTCAAATTGCATGTGGTCAGTGATCGCAGTTGTGTATTGAATATTGTCATTAGCAGACAGGCAGGCAGACACACTGGTGTCAATAAAACAAGACATTGAGTTTTGTCTGTGACAGCAACATATCTATATCACAGTTAGAAATCGTGTCAATGACATTGCTTTTAAGTATCGAACTGAGAAAGTGACTCGGTAAGAAGAACGTGTGGTGAAATAGATAAATGAAATTATATAAACAGTGTATTTACTGTCATAACATACAAAAAGCTCGCGCCTGTGAGATATCAACAAAACATTATGAAACTAGCTCACACCAAAGCCTTTACCGAGTATTCACCAGACAGCCCGCTTCCAAGTTGTGCGAACCTATTTCACTGCGCACGTGCTATGAGCGCAGCCAGCTGTTGAAACCCGTATTCCCCAGAAAAGTCTGGGGAAAATTAGTGAAACGTTTGAACTCCGATTTCGCGCGGTTTTTTTCAACGCGTTATTTTTCAACTTTATAAGTTGAATTTGCATTTTTGACGCTTTTTTTCGGTAAGCCCATACCGAAAGGTATCAGAATCTGCAAAGTTGTGTTTTACGTTGCATGTGACCTTTAAGACAATACAATGCTAACATGTATGAAAATAGTGTATAAATAGTTATAACTGAACAACTGAGATGATGCAGTGTAAGTAATCAAATGCTCACCTTCCACGACCTCCTCTTCCTGCAAATCTGCTGTTACCTATGGAGGATAATGTAATAAAAATATGACAACAAAATCCTTAAAATGTCATTTATAACTTTTTTATAAATTTCTTCATACCATACGAGTACAAAACCTAAAAAATAGTGACGTTTTGGCAATATCACAGCAGGGGACACCAGAAATGGGCTTCACACAATAGTACCCATGTGGGGAATCGGCAATTTCTAGTGAAGTATGTAATGGTATTATTGTTTTGCTTGTCTTCACTGAACAAATATCTATGAGATTTTCCCCATGTACTAATGACAAGGTTAACTTTGCTCATGTATAAAGAATAAAAGACCGTTTTAAGTATCTAAATCATACTTGTACACAAATCAAATGAAAAGTAAGAAGGAACCTCCTTGCAAAAAACATCTATAAACTTGGACAAGACAAGAAACCAGTTACAGTCAAATCCCGATGAGTCGAATGCCAGTGTCTCGAATATTATGCATAACTCGAAGTACCTGTCGGTCCCGACCATTCCCTGTTATAGTTGTCATCATTTGAATACCGGTTACACGAATTCGTCTCATAAATACACACGATGACTCGAGAAGGAAATTTGGTCCCACGAGATTTAAACAACAGCAATCTTGTATACATAAGCCGAAGTCAGTCAATGAGAAGTTGATTGGTGTAGCAAACTAATCCAATTAACAAACCAGCACTGCTCACACCTTTCCGCCAGGTGAGTTCAAAAGGCAGATTAGTGATTTTACGGAAATCACTGTCTGTGCTAATCAGACTGGAACTGATAAGGTGCTCCTATTAGTGATAGGGAAATCATTAGGTAAACAAATGCTTAGGTGGAGGAATTAGGACTGGATCATCTTTTGTTCTACCCTCATAGACATACCTATGTCTCGAATACATCGATAAGTCGAATGTATTACTTGGTCTCCAGCGATTCGACTCATCGAGATTGGACAGTACTTTGAAAACTTGAACCCACAGGAGTGCTAGCCCTGACAAGTTAACTGACCAGGCCACAGCAACACTGTTAAACTTTGTTCCCATATACAAAGTAATGCCTAAGTGACTACAAAAAGCACTGTACCTAAGGTGATGCTGGTAACGCACGTTACCAGCATGCCAACATGGTGGCAGGTAAGATCGCTTGGCGATTATTCCCCTCGAATTAGCAGTCTTCCACGTGTATACAGTCAACATTATTCAGCACACTGATAAACTTTGATGGTGGAAATACATTGAATGCACTGAATTTGCTTATTAACTCTTTCAACACCAGTCAACCAGAGGCACTTACTGCCATGACACCGAGTTCACAGAGACTCTAAGGTCATAGATAAAGCCTATGTTTATGAAGGAAATTATAAGCTTGTAAAACGTTATTGCTACTACATGTCATACACCATTTAAAAGATCTAATCCTACTGTTGATAAACATGAAGTTTATTTTCATAATATAATTCAAATAATACAACTACAACTTAAATAAATTTATTTTGTAATGAAAAATGCAAGTTTACGTTTATAATGTCCAGATAAACCACGAAAGAAGCAAAAACTATGGCGATTTTTTTCCATTTGTGACATGACATAACATGCCCGTACCTTTTTCTTTTATATTTTCATTTTTACGTAATCAAAAAATTATTATAAAAAGATTTCTTAAATAATATGTATGGTCGCTTATTTCCCGATATCAGTGGCTTTCCGCTCGGTAACATGACACAAAAGCGGAAAATGCCTCAGTTTTCGAAGCTCCGTATGAATAACATGTGAGGCGAATCGTTTGATGTCGGGTATCGTTCGAAAGCTCTGAACATCAACATCATCACTGAACCCTTGCCGAGAGTATTTTCACAGTTGTAAGAAGCGTTTTTATTGGATAAAGATTGGTTTCTAATGACGCTTTTTTGCCACAGTCTGCTATAAGGGTCGTGATTGGTCAAAATGAGACACCTGACCTCAGGCAGCCAATCATATTACGGCAATGGATACCGTCCTCGTAAACAAAAACTTTTAGATTTAGACGAAAGTTTTGGGTAAAATAATGCTATTTTGAACATATTAAGCAAGAAATTGCTACCTATACCTAAATTATGGGACTAATTGTACGTATCGTGCTAGGTTATGACCTGTGACAAAAATGCTTCATGCATATATTTTCGCATTAAACATCGTGTCCGAGTGTGAAGATTGAGGTGGCAAGAGCCGAGGTATCACTTGTCAGTGACTTGACTTGCATTACATGATAAAATGTAATTTTTAGAGTAAAATTGATATTTTATACTTATCCTGACTCATGCTCTTTTGCTTGTCTTCTTCTTCTTGCGAACATAGTGGAACACTTGTATCTCCTTATTTGAAGCTCCTTCAAAATAAAATCACTAATTGGTACTCACCACGAGTTGCTCCCCTTTGTTTCCCCTGGCGGGAAAGGTGTAAGCCACCCTCTGGCCATGTGCTCCACTCTCTCCTGATTTAGCGAGCCCAACACTTGAATTTACAGGAAATCCAAAGTGTTATGTGGGGAGGATGGGAGGGCTAACCTCATGAGTCAGGATAAGTATAAAATATCAATTTTACTCTAAAAATTACATATTTTTCCTTATCCTGACTCATGCTCTTTGCTTGTAGCATCCCTACTGAGAGGAGGTGGGTAACAGAATACTTTGGATTTATAATTAGTGATTTTGTATAGATATACTGTAATATCCCCTCGGGGAACTTCATGAAGGCTTAGATTTAGGATGTTTCCTGTATAAAGAAAACCATAGGTTATATAAAGCCATTAAAGGGAATTACATTATGAATATATTGAACAATACATATAAATTATATATATATATATAGGTGACTCTGATAGAGGCACTGAAATTGACTATACCAAAGTATATGCTTAAGGTTGAATACTTAAGCTGAACATATATACATAGCCCTAAAACTCCGTAGAGTTATAAGCTAGATGAGTATGTATAAAATACATATTAATCTTGTGAGGATAATATTTTAAGCCCTCTGAGGGACTGTCAGTTGCTGGCGAGGACCAGTGGTCGAAATGGTGAATGCCAGAGACATCTTCTGTAGTGATGTCTCTCAGGTAGTGATTAGCAAATACCATGTTAGATTTCCAATAGCATCCTTCCATAATCGTGTTCAAGGAACAGTTACGTGTAGAGGCGAGGGTAGAGGCCAGTGCCCTGATCTCATGTGGATTTGATGCTGTTGGTGGGTCAAACCTGCTGCCTTGTAGGCACGCAGGAGAATGACAGTCCTTATCAAATAGATATTGTGGTCCGTGACACTTCTGTTTGATTAAGTGGCGATAAGGGGATGAATAAGCGTTTGAGAAATCTTCTCCTTGTTTTGGATCATCGTAAGTAAATAAACTTTGAAGCTCTTACGGACACAGTGATAGGTCTTGTGTATCTTGTGATCGAGAATAGAGGATAAGCGCCGGGATGTGGAATAATCTGTCTGGTTGACCTGGCAGTTGATTTTTCGCGATGAAATCCCATCTTAATCCGAGGAGTGCTGTGTTATGATTGTCATCAAACTGTATCCTCTCGTAATCCAGGCGTGAATTTCAGACATTCTTGCTGCTGTGGCTAGCGATAGCAGAAACAGTGTTTTCTGTGAGAGAAATTCAAAGTTTGTCGATTCCAAAGGTTCATAGACCTCACTTTCGTGAGGTGTTGTAACACTACATTCAGATCCCAAGCTGGAAGTGGAACTTCGCTTTTGGTCCTCAATCGGGCTTCGTAGTAAGGCCAGTAACTCTGGAGATCTTGTCAATTTGACACCCGTTCTCATGGTGATTACAGAACTAAAAGCGGCAAGATATGTTGATATCGTTGAACCTTTTAAATGTTTGTTTTGGCGTAGGTAACACAAATAGTCTGCCACTTGAGGTTGTGAAGCCTCTCTTGCTGTAAACCCTTTCTTTGTTGCATAATTTTTGAAACTGTGCCACTTGTCGTCGTACAAGTTCACGAGTTGAATAGCGTAAAGGCAAAGCGTGACTGCTTTTGCAGCCCTGGCAGAATATCCTCTCTTGTTTAAACACATTTGTATACAGTCCATACGTGTAGTTGGAACATTGCTGGGTTTCCGTGCACTTGTTTGGTGTGAGGATGAATTAACAGGTTTTTGGCGCTTGGGTAGCTCCAGTGTTGGTTGACCGATTTCTTGAATTAGTATGGGAAACCACGTTCTGGCCGACCAGTAGAGTAGCGACCAAAGTGAGTTGTAGGCTCTGTGTTTGTCTGATTTTCTGTAATACTTGAGGTATTATTGCTGGCTGGTGAAGCAGCGTGCGCATTGAGGCCTTCCATGATAGACTTAGGCGTCCGTTGCCCAAGCTTGGGGGTCTGGGACTGGTGACCACGAATGTCGGTAGCTGATTGTTGAATCGGCGTGGCGAATAGGTCTATTTAGCGGCTCCTAATTGCTTGATTATCTGTGCAAAATTTCCCTGTTGATCATCCACTCTGTCGGTGATGGTAGATGAGGCGAGAGGCGTCTGCTAGTATATTTCTGGCTCGGGAATGTGCACTGCTCTGACATGTAGATTTAGATCTTGTATTAAATCGAACAGTTGAAAGCTTAGGTTCAAAAGGTTCATCGATCTCGTTGAGCCTTGCTTGTTTATGTAAAGCGCCACTGTCGAATTGTCTGTATGGATCATTAGTAGCATTTTGTAGAAATGTGCTCCAATGTAGAATGGCGTTGATTACAGCTTTCATTTCTAGACTGTTTATATGGAGTTTGCATTCTTGCTGATTCCATAACCCTGATATCGTGTGGTTGGTGAGATGAGCTCCCCAACCTTGGGTAACAGCGTCTACATACAGATGGGTTTTGTATTCCTGCTCTGCTAAACAAATCCCTTCGCAGACATTCGATTTCTTGGTCCACCATAGTAGATGCGGTCTGAGATGTTTTGGTAGACTGAATGGTTGTACATCGTTGAGATGTCGTTGATGAGACCTGTAGGGGGCGTAACTGTAATCTGCCTGTGACAG